TTGGTTTTGCATTATCTATTTAGTAGTAAAAAAACCTAATATAGAAAATACAATACCATTGTTGTGGTAATCCAAATAACATACAGGGTGTGATAGGGCCCAAAGACCACCTTTGTTCATTATAATGAGATCAAAACATTACTTGTGTTATCTACAGCAAAATTTTACTAAGAGATTACCTGAATTCACCTGCTTAATTGGTAATCCCTTTCTCCTTCCTCCACCCCTCCATCTTTTTCTAATAAAGATGTACATTTTAGGCTGCAAGGTTATGGTATTACAGAGCACAACTGGAGCACAACTGGAGCACTACAGCTGCCTCCCCTAGAAAAATCTTAATGTCCATGGAACTTGTTATAGACTACAAATCTTTTATTAAATACCAGTTATGATGCACTCAGCATGTCAGCTTCCAGGGTTTCCAAATTCCACTCTATTCTATGCAAATGTAGTACCTTCTTAAAGAAGCACACCTTGAAGTCTCCCGATAATGAAAGAAAGCTTATTCCTTTTGTTTCTTTTTAATTTTGCATCCCACTTTATTATACAGAACAAAACCATCAAAGCTTAAAACCAAAGTTTTTCAAATGGGAAGATAAATACATTTAAATTAAATGTTTATTTTTAAATTGAAGTTCTTAATGAATACTTGGTGCTTTGCGATTGAGTTTTATTTCCCTCTTTCTTTGTTTAGTCTTGAAGAACTTGAGCATTTTACTATTTATTTGCTTTGTTGAGCTAAACTTCCAACTGTGTGAGGACTTTTTATGACTTCCAGTTTTTAAAAAAATATGAACACTCACTTAAAAGTATCACTGTTCTTTGTTTGTCAGATGTAAGAGATAAACTAAATCTATAGGGAAAATAAATCAGGAAAATGAAGATACCTGAATTCCTTAGACTAGAAGATGTTGTCAGAGAACTGCAGGAATCAACTGCAGTCCTTCCAAATGGAAAATGAAACACAAAATAACATGGCATGTGGAGAAATATTTAAAAGAGGGAAATTGTCCACATGCTGTGCAGGAAGCACAGAGAAACTGATGATTCAAAATATATTCCAGTGAAGAAAAATGGTCATATAAAGTGACACAATATTTCGGAAATATAAAACAGGCATAGGCACTTTCTTTAGTATCAACTGGCATGTTAGATCTCTGTTTAATATTTTGCACCATGTTTGTAATGAAATAAAGTCACTTGACCTTAAGCAGTTCATAGATGGACTAATTAGAGATTGACTTATTTGTGTTATAACTGATAATCAGGTCAGAATGCTAATATGAGATTAGCTATTAATTTAATTTTGCAAACAATCATCACTGCAAGCTAAAGTAAACTGGATTTTCCCAATGAGCTAGGAAAAAAACAATGATGAGGGGAATATCATGTGATTTAAAATTTGGATGCAGAGGGTGGGAAATCAGAAATCTACCATCCTATGAAAGGCCTTTAATAAAAAAATAAAAAAATCCCCAACATTAAACACACCTGAAGTAAACATAGGAAAGCACAGTTCAACACAATAAATATGTCAAACATTTTATTAGGGGACACCATACTTGACAAAAAATGCATGGTAGCTTATAAGAATATGAATAAGTTATATATAACTTATATTCATAAGTTTCTGAATGGGAAAAATGTGCAAAGCAAAAATCTGCAAAGGAATGTATTATTACAATGTCAGATATATCAAAGCAGAATGCTTATCTAAGCATAAACATTGACAATTTAATACAAAAAAGCATGTTTATATGCATAAAATAGCATTGGCAAAACTTGTGTAAAAAGAAAAAATCAGTGAGTGGGGTTTGAAAAAAAAGGAAGAGTTCTCATCATATATGGGTTGACACCAGTATGCAAATAGAGTGAGGTGTTTAACTTGTCTATAAAATATGATAGAAGGGATCGTTTTGATTATATTCAATAAAGTATTTCCAAGACAATGCTTTTTAAAGGATATAAAATATTGAGGGTAAAGGTATTCTGGTGTGTGCCTCAGTATTATACATAAATATACTGGCTTCATCAAGAAAAAAAGAAAAACCAAACAAACCCAATCTTCACCAGATGGTAAAAGTAGATGTTACTAAATGCTTTTGGATGCAACATGCTTAATTTAACAGTGTGGTCACTTTAAAAAAAAAAAGATGTTAAAAATGAATGCTGATACTAAGGTGATTAATAGGGTCATCACAGAATTGTTATCAGTGTGAACAACTAGAAAGCACTTTTTCAATACATACATTCAAGGTAATTTTGTCTCTTAAGTCATAACAGAGTCACTTTACACAAAGAATTAATGCTCAACACTTTTAATTTACTTTCATTTACTTTGACTTTTCCTTCTGCCTGTTTCAGTATCAGAAATATCCAGATTCCTGGCTAGAATGCAAAAAGTGAACACCTTTTCCAAATGACTTCTCATTTGGGGGGAGAAGGAAAAAAAAAATGAAGAAAGGCAGGCCAACATAATGAGAAACTGGAACAATTTGAGCTGTGCCCAAGAAAACAACTTTGTAGACTGGATAGGCTTAAAAATGCCAGATTAAGTTTAATGCGGTTATTTATGTAAGACAATAATTTGGCGTAAAAGAAGTTTACCAACCATACCCATAAAATCTGCAGTCAGCTGTGTAGATGGAAAGTCACCAAAATAAAACCAGCTGTCCAGGAGGCATCTCTAGCTTGTCAAAACTAAACAGTTTCTCAGAAGTACCTGGAAGATGATGTGAATATTTTAACTTCTGAAATTTATCTTCTTGGCACAAGAGCCTCATGGGAAAAAACACAATTTTTAGAAAGCAGTTTGAAATATATATAACTATCCATACAATATCTATATATAATAGATAATGATTTCCGTATTTCTACTTTGGCTCTCAGTCTAGTTGTTGAGGAGATTCAGGAAATTCAAAAAGATATTTCTTTCTGGCTTTACATTACCACTCACATCACACAGCCCCACCCCCTTATTAACAACTGCAAAGACTGCCATGTAACTGGGAACCCAACTCTATGCTAAGTCCTGCCTTTGGAACCCACTCCCATAGTCAGCATGAAAGCTCTAGGAGCTAAGGACAGTGCTAACAACTGATATTTATATTCTAAAATTGGATGGAAGCTGCAAATGGACAGCTCTTTTCCTTCCAAGAAAAGGTTATCTGCTCAGCAGGATGCTGGGACCCACTGGCAGAAACAAATGTGCTGCAGTTTGTACTCTGACGTACTGTATCTAACCTCTGGCTAAATTACTGAGAGGATTTTCCCTTGTAAGATTTGTCTTCTTATGCATTGTGCATATTGTGCACAAGCATTAAATCCTCACCATTTTCCATTGCATTCCACAATCTTTACAAGCGCTTGGTGGCTCTTTCAAGACACCCAGCATCTTGTGCCCTTCCTTTGTGATGGTGTCCCAGCCAACTGGAATTCTGGGCATGCAGCAAGGGGTATGGAGAAAAGCACAAATAGGCAGGGCAGGGATTGGGCAAGACAAAGCATAACAGATGTCTGAGGGCAGCAAAACAGCCCCTGTGAGGAGTGATGAGAGCCTTGCTGCATGTTGTATACATAAAAACAGTGCTGCTGGCCAAGGCAGCGAGTCATAGGAAAAGCTGGAGCTGAGGGGGACAGAGGCAGCAGCCAGTCCCCAGCTGGGCCAGCAGCACCGAGGACTGCCAGGCACGGCTGGGCTCATCAGACAGCACATGGGTGGAGGCCCACAAGGCACTGAAAACTACAGCTAGACTTTGCCAGCACATTTGATTAATCTGGAGCGTGTTCCCAGCTCTGCTTCGCCACAGTGCTGCTTTGCATGTAGGTACTAACCACATTCAGGAACAGCTCTACAGCCCTCTGAGGGCACTGCCACAAAAACCTACAGGAAAAGATAGGGTAGCAGTGAGGATGTCCNTTCTTAGGCCCTGCCCTTTTGACAATCATGTTCATTGAATTCAAGGGACATTTTGCCTGAGTAGATTTTGACCCCCAGAAATATATTTGGACCCTCGTCTGAAAAGCTCTAACTTCAAGTGAGTAGCTCTGTCAAGTACATTGGCATTATCTGCAGGAAGGGACTGCAGAATGCCTCAGAGAATTATAATCTTAAACTAGAGAAGGAGATTTCAGCAGTAGCAGCAAAATCTGGACCAGTACATTCCCAATCAGAGCTACGTTTTTATCTGAGGGTCATGAGATTCATGAGAGGAAAAAGAGATAGGGGGAAAACTTTTTTAATGGAAAAATGTTTTCTTTAATAAGAGAAAGAAGTGTTAGACAGTTCCAATGCCCAAAGAAAATAATGATTAAGTTAGACTAACTTCAGTTGCACAAGATCAGCTCTTAGGATTTAGTTCCAGAATTTTATATCCAGGTATTTCACCTTTAGGACATAAAGGATTAGTTACAGCAAGGAGAACGAGAATGAAATTCAATGGAGTTTAAGAGTGTTCTTAGATAAAAATTTAGGTTCTGTAGCCCTTATTCTAATCTGATTTAAATCACATTTATGAAGTAAAGTTCAAATCCCAGTTATTTAGAGGCTTTTCAGCAATTTAGATGGTTCCCTTTAGATCAGGTTCCCTTGTTATAACAGAGATAAAAATATTAGAACAATGAAAAATATCTATAGAGTGTCCTTTCTTAGGAGAGTCCTGTAGTTAGAACAGTTGCCTGGTACGGTACCATTGGTACCAACAAGAAATATTCACAGGAATAAATGAAGTACAGATTCATGAGACAGGGAGAGCAAAAGTACCTGGTAAGCAAGTGCATAAGAACTTGTTAAGTTCTGGAGCATCATCTCTGCACAATTTATTTGACTGAGGCACTGCCCAGAACAAACAGGTAAAAATCCTTACACATTGTATAACAAAACCCAATATTTTTATCATATGTGTGTGTGTGTGTGTGTGTGTGTGTGTGTGTGTGTGTGATATATATATATATATATATAAATCACAGTCTTCTGCACAGCAGAAGCTTATAACTAAAATATTTTAGGATTCTATTTTTTTAGATAGACATAACAAAATGCCTGCAAATATAATACAGTGAGCACATAACAATTTTTAGAATACAAAGAATGAACATGGAATTGTATATTTTATCCACGTTCTACTTGTGGCTGAGAACAAAACTCACTTGGAGTTTCTTAAAAGTCTTTTTAAAAAATGTAATCCTTTAATAAGATATGGTCAGTATATACTTAGTATGAATACACTCTTCATCTACATGACAATAATTAAGTGTAAATACAACAGGCTAATTCCTGCCCTCTTTAAGCCTGTTAAGTAAGGGAGGCCAAAGGGAGCATAAAGCCTTCAGAGGTGGCCAGAATAGATTGAGATAGACTGTCTGTGTAGCATCCACAACCTTGAATCTGCTGTACAGAGAAGTCACATCTTGTCCAAAAAGACTATTTACATCAGGAGGAATTTCAGAAGCTGAAAGACTTCTTCCTATGTGCTAGTAGAATCTGCTGCATGTTTGACGCAAATCTCAGCAAGCCAAACCGTTTAAGCAAGGGCTGAAACTCATCCCAGCTCACCAGATGTAAGCATGCTTGAGTCCCCTTGAAGTCAAAGTGCACTGCTGAAGAAAATTTGGTGAGTCAAGACGAGGCCTATCTCCCAAGACACCTCCCCTGAAGTGGTTGCTTTCTGACAGGGCAGAATTCAACTCTTCATCTTCTGCATCAAGTGTCCTTTTATATGTCTACATCATGGTGTCAGCCTCATGACTGTGCAGTTAGATATGATACACAGACCAAACACTACTGCAAACATTTACAATTTACACAGTCACAAGTGAAGCAACAGTGCTGTTACTTATGCAATTACATGTACAGTAGTAAAAATAACAATTGAATATATGTTGTATCAATTTTCCAGAAATTAAAGGGTAATCAGTGCCACCTATAACAATATATTTGTACAATATTTCCAGATATAAAACTAAATACCTACAGATGAATAAGAACTTTTCTGTGATTTTTTTTTGTTCCCTTTCCCTATCAGCATAAAGGAAAAAGATTGTCCTATATATAGGCAGGAAACAAGGAACTAAACTATCAGTGATGTTGTCCATATTAAATGCAAGATCATATCAATCTCTGCAATTGTTTTATTATCCTGAAAGGAATTATACAAAGGACAGAATTTTGTCCAAATCTAGTTAAGGTTTTATTAAATTTCTCAAGTCTCGAAAAACTGTTAATATATTACTTACTTTTTCCAGTTTTAAATCTCTCAGCCAGGTGCTAGATTCAACTGTTCTTTTTCTTGATATAAATGCAGAATTTCATGAAATAACCAGAACCAAATGACTTTTTAATACTTCTCTGTTTAGAAAAAAATTGGCATATTTGATTTAAATTTCTTTTAATGCCTAAAGTATTCCAAGAGCTAATCAGGATTACTTTTTCAAATTGCATGATATGCTGTCTTTTGCATTGCAAATCCACAGTTATTTCTGGGTCAGACTTTGAAGAAATGATCAATAGTTTGCTAACCAAAATGGGGTTTGAGATATCTGTTAGATATATACAGTGAAGGGACCAAGTGCAGAACTGGAGTCTGTAAGCACTGTGTAAAACAACGTGGTAGTGACTTCTATGAGAATTCTGCTTACAGCAGGTTTGTCAAAGCCCATCAATAATGAAAAGATTACTTACCAAAGATAATATTTTTTAATAAAATACTGAAATCTTGGACCTCTCAGAAGGGGGAAAGAGAAATATGATCATAAATTCTGTCCTTGACAGATGCATATATCTCTCAGTAGGGATTTTGTTATATATGAAGAGAAATATATGGCTCATAGAAAGAATGATCTGTGTTAAGTGTTAAGTAGAACTATAATTTGTTTCTCCTTCTAAGATAATCTGAAGAGCAGCTTTAAGGAGGTCATTTGTTTTATTTCTACAAAACCATTTATCGTCCAGTAATGTCTTAGCAAAATTGTTTATCCATTCAAGTTTCTTCAGGAGATATGTCACCATACTTGCATATACTGTAAGTCACTCCAACATTATAAAACAACACTGATAGACAAAAACACCAAAAACACCCATAAATATTAAAAGAAGCTCAACAAACTTGACTATCAAGTACTTAAAAATTTGTTGATCTTTACATTATACATTAATTACATGCTGTCCAAAATCTTTCAATGGGAGTTGTTGACTTTTTCAGGGTTTTCTGTAGGTCATCATAATCTTGTGTATCCACCGGGAGTAATACGAGACGCGAACAAAGATGCCAGGACGATTTCGAATGGCGCATCCTCGGCCAGGAACAATGACACCAATTACTATCTTCAGCCTGTTTTGTTCACAGACCAAAGGACCACCATAATCTCGCTAGGAAAAATAAACAGCATGAGTGTCACTTCTCAAAATGCTTCAAGACACAGCTCTCACCTCTCTACTACTGAAGGGTTTCTTTTGAGGCAATAGTGTTCCTGCCATAGGACATAAACCAACTTCCAGTCTCTTTTTTTCATAACCAGAACTTATGAGAAACAATGTCAGAGTTAGTCTCTGACTTTTTTGTTCCTTTCTGTGCAAATTAAACTCTATAATCCGTCTGTACATGTCATTCTAGTGACTTCAGACTACCAGATTTAATTCACTTCTTTCAGCTACCTGCAAGCCTAATATTTTTTTCTGTGAATATAAACCAGATGAGCAGAAAGTGAGTTGACATAACATCTTTGTTATGATGACAGGCTTTGCATCAAACACTGCTGACAAAGTCAGGTTAGTATCTTCCTTTCAGTCAATCTCTTGCAAGGCCCTAGGATGAGAATCTGTATGTACTAAAAGGCAGGAGGGGGATAACAACCATAATAAAAGGTAATACTTTTAAGCATTATTTTGAGACATAATTTGTTAAGCTTATATTTTTTGTTGTTATGAATGAATGAGACACCTATGAGACATTCTATGACAATTTGGAGTATGACACAACGAGATCAGAGTTAGATACAATCACATAGATCTGGGACTTGAACACAGATGCTGCATTTTCTACCCAGGCTAAAGGTAGACTGGACTAAGGAAATTTGCTGCAAAACTAGACAGCAAATGCTCATATCAGATAGTGAGTCATTGTTTCAAAAAATGAAGGCTGACAATTAGCATTTCATTCTCTCTGGATCACCAGAGAAACAACAATGCTTGACCTTTATTTGGCTTGGGATTTTTTCTGACTGACAGCAGACTAGTTCCCACATGAACAATGAACTGTGTCAACGCCATCAGAGTGGCTCATACAACACTTTCAGGAGTGGAGTTTCACCTGCCAATCTGATTTTGTTCCTCTGCCTGTTCTCTGCTGAGGAAAGTAGCTTCAAAGGAGAACTTAGGGAGCAGGAAACTGCTCAGTGATTAAGACTGATTGCTAATATTAATTCATTCCATTTCTTCTTGCAGGGGAAAACAAAGCACAGGATCCCCAGCAGACTTCCATGCAGATGTTTCATTTATAAGCCTTGACAAGTCTAAGACCTCATTTACAATTAAATATTTTATTTTGAAGAAAATACTTGGCAATAAGAAGTGATCCCATGGAATATTAATAACAAAAGGAAGAGGCCCCAGCTTTATGAAGATGACCTCTGTTCCTCCTGGTTTGGTACTAGCCTTGGTAGCGAAAATTTTACTACATGGTTAACATTGGTATTAGGAAATCAAAAGTTATATTCCATATAATAAATACTTAATAATGTTCCTCTCTTCCCTCCTTCTAGATATCTATTTTCCAAAAATAAAATTAAAAAAAATTAAAATTGTATCTTCCTGTAATAGATTATTTACAGCTCTTCTCCTCAAATGTCTTCTCTCCATCATCAAAACCAGTGCTAAACAAAACAAATGTACCAAACTACATGACCACTGAAATAGTTCTTCTGTCCAATATGGTGCTCATACTCAGGAGACCAAAAATGCTCCAGCCTTCTGGCTTGTAAAACCTCAGTACATTTTTGGATCTTTCCTTTATAATTTTATCAGCTCTGTTGAGTACTGACTGTTGTGCATTTTGCATTTGATTTCTACTCAATCAAAACACACAGGTATTGCTACCAGAGAGTCCACTTTTGTCCTTAGTATACAGAACACAAGTTTGTCTCAGTCTAGTGAAGTGTTTTAGTATATGAGTATATTTAGTATATGATTCCTGTAAATCTTTCAGTGGTGTGATATCACAGTGAAATTAATTTCTGCACTCTGACATAAAATAAAACACTTGTAACACTAATCATTTTCCAGTGCAAAATATTAGTACAATGAGAATAATTATATAGAAACCTCCAGTAATTAATTTTTTGGGGAAAGAAATAGCCAGGGTCCTAAATATATTAGGAAATGCAATATTTACCTCACAAGGCCCAGCACCTATGGTTTCAGCCACAGCACAGATTTCAGACTCATTCACAGTAATCTTCCCTTTGAGATATTGGTTGCATTTCTCATTTCCCAAAACAAACAGGTTTGCTACTTGGAGAAGGCCATCATAGTTAACTACTACAATTGAAAAGAAAATAAAAAATAAAAAAAATATTGTATTTTAGGGGAAAAAGTGTTTCAAGATACAGTCTAGATAAACTTATTAATGTAATTTCAGTTATTGTACTTTCTCTCCAAAACTCATATTTTTGTCTATCCCTGCTGCTATCATGGTTTAGTATTTTTGATTTCTTATATTTTTTGCTAATGGGATTTTCCAGATGGAAAAAATTGGATTTCATGTCTGTTTATTTCTCTGAGAATATCTGGATAAGTTTTTGGTGCTAGGATAAAGAACAGGTTAACTGGGCTTCCTCTACAGCACGCCACCAGCTTGCCCAGTCACCAAAAAAATCAGAAAAAGAGCCTGAAATTGTTATCACTCCCATCAGTGGAGGGAGGATTAACATGAGTTAATGTGTAACAGTGCCTGCCATGGCCTAGGGAAGGACGTGTGACTTGAAAAACACTAGCAGAGTGGAGTTTTTCTCATTCTGTGCTGGCTCAGCTACCCTGAATGACTTTGTGCCTGCAAGGGCAGAGCCACAGCCTTGTGCAATCTCCATTCACCAGTGTGAAGGTCAGGAAGCAGGAGCCCTGTGGAGCTTACTCTTGTTCTACATGTCGAAAGACAAGCCTCTACAAGCTGCAAAGATAAATAAAGAGTCTGGACCTGCCCATTCTCAGCACAGCCATCAAAAGAAAATGCCAAGCTTGCCCTTCACTGACTTATTATCCTGTTTTCTTGAAAAAAAAAATAAAAAATGGATGTAACACTTCTTCCTTCCCTGGCCAGGATTCTGTGAGGATTATAATAAGCAGTGCAAAAAATATAGTACAAAGTCCTTGGATGACAGATGTTATGTATTTACTGTATTACATAACTCCAGAACATTGCAAATTCCTTATCAGTTCTCTTAAGCTAAGCTTTCCTGTGATGCTGTACTGTGCTCCAGCCTGATGTCCCTGTCCCCCAGACAGCCGATGCCCCAGAGGATGGCTAATATGGACATGCTGGGAACATCAAAGGCAGTCATTTGGGAGAGGGCTGGTACAGATTAATTGCCACCCACAAAGAAATGGCAGAGTAGTGGCTACGAGGAAGACAGTCTCAAAATTCCAGCCTAGCTTCTGCTCTGCTTCCAGGACAGTGTGAGCATATTAGTGCTGCTTACTCAGGGTCTGTGGCAAAACAACATTTGAGCACAGTAAATATTGGAGTAATTATTGTCAACTGGCAGCTATTAACTTTTTATCAACACATAATTAGCCAGATATAGCATTTACTAGACTAAATAAATGTCTGTTCTCCCACATATTTGTATTTTCTTCACACAAAACTGTGTTTAATAAACATTAGAAAGGTTGCAAAGTCAAGTACTCAAAAGTTAGGAAATGCCAGACTTAGCGTTGCCTGTGCATCCCTAGTTCACTGTTATTGTGTATGTTAATAAAGTCTTTGATTACATGTTTCTGTATTAGTTTTTCCACACGGGCCTGCTTTGGATTGCAGAAAGAGACTGCTCAAGTAGATGAACAAAGATTTGTCAAAAAACCCTGTTAACATTCTGTAAATCAATTTTGCTATTTTTTTTAACATGTTGGTTGGTATTTTTCTCTTAATTCACTCCTTGAAATGTTTGAATCCTTATGCCTGTTCCTTAAACAACAACAACAACAACAAAGAGAGACTAGTGGAAAACATTTAATATTAAATTAACTTGGATAAAAGGCTCAGAGATTGACAAAATTAGAAAAGAAAACAACAACTCTATTTTTGATCAAGAAGTGTTGGACAACCATGGCATCAGGCAATACCCGCAGCCTCACCTATAATGACAAGAGGAAGTAAGTTCTCAACGTATTCATTTAGTTTTTAAAAATAGTTTCTTACATCCAGTGTATCCCCATCCATAAACACTGCAGCTCGTCTTCTCTGGAATGGTACATCCAGAAATGGGCAGTCGGATTATTTCTACAAAATTTGTCAATATAGCAGGTCTGAAAAGAGGAAAAAAGTAATAGATATAATGGATTTTACTTAACTTTCTAAAATGTATTTTTAAAATTACATTAAGTTTATTATAGACCACCGCAATTAAAATCTGTGCCAATTCTTTTCCTTTCATTTTCTGTCTTTGAAGAATATGATGGATTCTTCTACCTATTTTTTGTACTACAGCTGCCAACTGTCAAAAAATTCTTGAAATGCTGTCACCACAGCATATTTAACTTGGGTTTTATTCTTAAAAGTAAGCAGTGATGGCATTTCATTTGGATATATAGGTTTGTTAATATGGAGAAATTTTGAGAGCTTGTATATACACAGGGATTTCAGCTACAATCTGGTGCTTATTCTAAAAATTAAAACCATATACTAGTCCATGTGGGTACTTTGTGGGTTTTCTTTAAATTTCCCAACAAACCTAAACATGGTTAACAGGAAGAATAATGTCAGTATAATTTCACAGGAGTATCATCTGTTTTCTGAGTAATGTCGATGGACCTGCATTTCTGTGTATACCAAGTCAAACTTCCTTTCAGTTGGAAGTTTACCCCATGGAGACAGCATCTGTAGTACTGGAGATAGCAGTGCAATGAACTTCCAAATCCCATTTAGGAAGACTCTCACCCAGCAGATGAAATTCTTGAAATTCACAATCACAGCTACTAACCTGCTAAGTTTCAGCAAGACCAAATCTGACCCTGCAGGGCCATATACCAACTGGGAGATATTCCGGACCTGTCTACGCTTCTCCTCTCCCTTTCCCTTGATGTTATGGACTCCAAGCCAGGCTTTGTAGTCTTTCAAATCCTTGTACCTAAATGAGGCAAAGTTGGTTATGATTTTTTTGACTATAATAAAATAACTAAAAAACTCTGCTTAATATGATTATGCTGGAAAATCTTAACTGACGCTCCTTAGCAGAAATGGCTTCATGCTGCCAACTGCTATTCCAAAATCAACATGCTTGGATGTAAGATTTTGGCCTGAAGCCATTACATAATTTTATCTTTAACTGTTACTAAAATCTATTTTTTTTCATATTAGTATCCAAACATTTAAATCACTGGACAGTATGAACCTTTGAACTTTTTTAGATTTACCCAAGTTTTCTATTTTATTTTGTCCAGTTAAGCAGAAGCATGAGATTATTCTCATAAAGAGGCAATTGTCTAACCGCAACACTTGGAAAATCTATTTATTCTTCTATGTAAAATAGCCAGAGCTATTTAGATTTATAGCAATAATAACAGAAAATATCAAGGTCCCACAGGCCTTTTATATCAGAAAAGCAGTGTTAAAGCCAAACAGGAGGAAAAACTGCTGCATTGAAGTTGAAGAAGAGTTGTGCTGATAAATTCCTGAAAATAGATGTATTTTAATACTGCAAAGTTAGAGACTACTGTACCGAGAAGGGAAACACTGCCTTGCTGTAAGAACCCACTCTTCTTTTATTAGAGTACCACCACAGATATGCTTATTCCTGGGGGGAAAAAGAAAAGAAAAAAGGTTAAAATAAAAACCAGAACCACTAGTATTAGCTTCTACATAGTCAAAAAGTTTAGTGTTTAGCTCCCCACAAGTTTGCTGGTGAAAAGTGGCAGACTGACAACATATGGAAACTTGTCTCTGTCCCTTTGCTCTACAGTTTCAACACTTACAGTAACATAACATTGCAGAGCTTTACTCCAATGTGCAAAAATCAGAAAGACAAGTTCAGTTACCCTGTTCATTTAGTGGTTTCAAAGTTAAATTTGTAATAAGACACCTAATTTAATTTTTTTTTTAATAAAAGGGTCAATTCTTTGTAACAGGAACTGGACTGAAACTTTCTAGCAAGTCCCCAAACTGCCACCAGATGTAAACAATATTTGGTCATTATTCATGTAAGTATTATTCAAAGCATTGACCTCAAGGTGGAGAGTTCCTATTTGATTACAAGCCCTAGGAGATTTGTCCCCACATACTTCAGTTGGAAACAATCTGCAGTGTATGACATCCTACATGTGATTATAGAAAACCTAAAGCATAATATATCAAGTAAAATTAAAGCAATTAGGCATGACAGTTCTTAAAAAAAAAAAATACTGTGGAATGTAAATTAATTAGTTTCCTTCTCTGTGCCTCCAAAATCGCATTTATTTGCTGTAGCTCTCTGGAAAGTGAGTCAGAATTGTCAGCAATTTCAGAAAAACTTAAAATCTCAAAATTTATAAATTCAAATCACACAAATGTTCAAAGCTTTGCAAAGAACTACTGGATGGATAACAGATTATCTGTGGAGTTCACAGACAGCATAATAACACAGAGCTTTGACTTTTATTATTTTTTAATCATATTTTGTTTGAGGAGCAAAATATCTGGTCCAAAAGACTGGAGTCTTCTACATGTAGGTTCTAGCTTGTTTTATTACAAAAATATCACAGGAATATAACTATGTTCTTCCATGTTATGTTTGCATCACTTATTATCTTATACAGAATTTCATTATCTGCATTAGAAGACTCATTAGTACACATAGAAAGGTAAGTTCCTCATTTAAGTGTGAGGAAAAATTAGAGCTGGTTCCATGAAACAGATGAAATCCATTTAAATACACTTAAATACACTTTGTTATAGAATCTGAATTGGATATACAAGAAAATTTCATTGATCAATTTAAGATTTAGAGGTGGGTTTTGGTTACCAAATACAAGTAGTTTCTAAGTTTCATTGGACCTTCACCATTCAGACAAAGCAGTTCCATTTTGGAGTGTACAGTTAGGCTTTCTTGCAGAAAGGTCAGAAGTTATTAAGATTTTGTTTCTGACAATGTTCTATTTGCTTCCTTGGTAACAATACAAAATAAAACTACATTTTTATGCCTACATGTAATACTTCAAGATATATTTTGCTTCTGGAGTATTCCAAGAATCGCCTATTCATAGGAGGATCTGCAATCATTTAGGTACTCATGTTTCATAGAATTTTATTGCATATCAGAAAATCCAGGTTCAACTATCCTAAAAATAGCTATTTAAATTTTAGGCACAAAGATGAAATTCACCTTACCTGCCTAAAAGTTTATCAAGTATCATGGCTACTTTTAAAACAGTACAAAGATAAATTTTCCAGGGAGTGATTTAGCCCACCTGTTTGTTACTTATCCAGGAATTTAGTGATCTTCCTCTAGAAAAGTCTCCCTAAACCATCCAATGCCCTCCCAAAAAGGTTGAGATCTGTTGGATCTCAGAAAACGCAAAAGTTACCAGGGATGGGTAGAACACCCCACCCTGAACTTCTCTAGCAATGAAGAGATGTAGAGAATGTATCTTTTTATCTTACTCCCATTTTTCATTTAATACCTCTTTTACAATATAGTTTTTAAACAGATGATGAATCATAAGCTAATAGAATTGAAATTAGTCTGGTCCAGAAGACAAAAGACCTTATTTTGTTTTTTTGGTTTATTTGGGTTTTTTTTCATGACAGAATATCCAGGGCCAATGCATGAGATTCCTGTTATAAACTAATGACTCACACTTCCAGCTGATGAGTTATGAACCAGAGTAAAGAACATAGGAAACAGCCATTCTGTGTTCTGGCCTTTATGCTGCAGTGAAGATCTGTCATAATGTAATACGTGTGTTACACACAAGTTGGGCATGTTAGGGTCTTGTTTCTTGTTAGCTCCTACTTTTTTTTTTTTATTGCCAAATCAATATTAACTGCAATTAAAATAAATTTTAATCCCCTATGCAATGACACAGGGAAAAGCTTAATTTGATGCAGGTGTAAATCCTGAATCCTACATTCACAATTAAAGGCTCTGCCATCAAAGTGAAAATATGGATCTGAAATTCATTTTTTTTCTAACGGTCTCTAAAACAGTTTAATGCTGAATGTGAAGCCAATGTTATGAAAAGGCCTGCAGTAGCTAATAGAAAGAGCAGAACACTATGATTGCTGTGCAGGTTCATGTGTATAAGTTAGTGATAATGAACATATGAAGTATTTCACTGGCAGAGTGAATACTATAGCATCACCTGATATTAGAGGAATGTTATTCTCTGCTTTTACAGAACTTAACTTCAACGTAGAAATATTCTTATTATGGTCACTATTTTCTACAGTTCTAAAATGAATATTCTAGTAATTGTATTGTCCTTCTAATTAAAGTGATAGTTACCTGTATGTCAAACTAACCACCCATCCTTCGTTAGTTTGTGTTGGGATTCCATTGACAACTCTCAAATGTTTTGTTGAGGCACAAGGAATGGCAGTATCTGAAAGCAGGTCCAGAGATCATATTTTACTAAAAACAGTGGTAGCAAACCATCACAGTTGCATATAAGAACCACAAGAAGGTCAATATTTCTTATATATTAGCTTTCCTATGCTAATGGAATGTATTTCTAGGCCATCAAAACTACTTCAGTACAGCTGAGTAGGTCTATTTAAATATCCATAGGGAATATAAAATACATAAATTTAAATAGTTTTTTGAGATTTACATACTTAAAAACCAAACATTGACACTCATTACCAATTCACACCACTGGCAAAACAAGACAGTGAGAATAGACAAAGAGTATAATAAAGCTATTCCCCATTTTTTCTTGTAAAATTAATTTTGCTCAGTCTATATGGTGGGGTTTTTTATAACCTTAAATAATCTATTTTTGTTTCCCAATTGGAAAAAAAAGTCTAGATTGAGAAGATAGTCATGCACTGTTCATACACAAACTTACTTACCATCGAAGCTGGTTGTAGTAGGAGTTGTATCACCTTCACCTAGACAGACACATAAAATAGCCATAGTACAAAATTAAAATATATTTAAAAATTGAATAAAACACAACAGCAAATGTCATATCATTAACTTTAATGGCTCCCAAATTTTTAAACTTCAATGATTTTTTCAATACACTGTAAAATCAGTATTTAGTAAGGCTTAACAAAAGGGCAAAATTTTATTCCAATAGAATGAAATAAGAAATAAACATTTTGTAACAGGAATGTCAAGCATTTTTCTTCTTGTCTGAATCCTGAAGACATCAGGTTGTTCAATTTACATGTTTCATTCAAACAAGCAAATGCTGAAAAATAAAGTTATCACTTGTATATAAGCTTTAGAAGTCATGTGATTAATTCCAAAGAAGACTGAAAGTAATTCTCAACTCCTTTAAAAAACTTTGAGAGACATTTTATGTTCCTGTCAGCAAAAACTTTTTCCTATTGCACAAGGAAAATTCAAACAGTCTCATCCAACTAGATTTCCATCATTAAGAAAATATGTGTGTGTACACACACACACACACACACATATATATAAGTATATTCATATATACATACAATTATACCCACAATTAAATTCCTATGTGCATTTATACACAACAGCATAAATATGTGTGTATATGTGTATGCATTTGTGTGGATACCCGCGTGGGTTTCTAGGTATCACTGTATGTATGTGCATATATATTTATATAATATTGTAATGCTGGTCCATATGAGTTACAATTGTAAAACTGGCATATTCTCTCTCTGGTGTTTATTGCAGAAATGTACCACACACCAATTCTGGATACCCTACAAATGTTTGTTGAGAATACATCCTTAGGAATTCACAGATCCAAATAATGAGCTCAGAATACATGAATAAAAAGTATATTTCTTCTGCTGTTATTCTTAATTTATATTTACACAAATAACCTTTTTCACAGTTTTGTTTACTCTTCACATAGATGCCAAAATATCACCTGAGACTTCAAATACCACTTTTTAGATCTGCTGGAGCTTGGGCTGTGAGGAAATGCAGCAGATTGCTGCTAGGAATGAGTGTAACATTATCCTTAACCTCTAGAGATCACAGACACATATTCAAAAGTCTGATTTACCATTTAAGTGTTCTCCCAGGACATACAGCAAAGTAACTTAGAAATAAGAATTGAAGAGAAAGATTTTGAACATAAATGTGAATTGCACATTTTTCAGCATAAAACTATCTTTTTCTACTTGTCATCAGTTTATTGCTGAATTCCCTAGGATTCTTAATTCTGTTTATTTAAGCTATTTAGATTTAAACATTCAGCTTCAGAGGCATGAATTTTCTAATTCTTGCCAGGAGTTAAATCACCTCATAAACATCCAAAAGCAAAATCTAATCTTTATAGCACATATACACTTCAGCATATATATAGTGAGTTATCCTAACATTACAAAGACATCACACAAAGAGTCTCTGAAGCTTTTAGACCAGAAGATAACTCTTCCTGGGTTTCTTGAGGCCACAGCCAGCATTCTGACCGCTAGACAATTCTTTGTCTCCATCCAGCCCTCATTCAATAGCTAGATCTGTTGGAAAATGTTTGACCATCTGTAATAGCCCCTTTGTGCTCCTGCTGCATAAATAAGTCTTGAAATCTCCAAGCTGGTCAAGGAAAAGAACCCCTTGTTCATATGTTGCACAAGCAGCTTCTGTCTGCTCCTTCTCAGTCACGCACAATTGATTCCTGATAGAATCACACATTTTCTGCTGCCACAAGTGCCAGCAGGAAGGTGTGCATAGGCATGTGACACCGTGCCTTCACTGGGACTGCACCGCTGACAGCGCCAGCGGCGTGCCGAGTACTCACATCGAGAAATAGGGCAGTAATCCCAGGGAACAAGAGGATCATCTGTGTAACACCAGGGACCGTGAAAATCATCATCTGGATTGCGGCAATAGTTTTTCTTCAGTTTACTAACATCTGGTTCTCTGAATATTTGTATATGCCTACAGGGATAAAAAAAATTCAAAGTGTTGAAAAGCTTTATACTATAGCCCAAATTTTCAAAGGTTAAATGTTGCTTTGCTCCACATTGTATTATTAGCTGATTGAGAAGCCTACAGGTCAGGGTTTAGGGCTGGTTAAAATCAAAGGGAAGATGAGACCCAAGTGTTTTCTGGATCTGGGCCCAACTTTCCTCTGGTTAGTATTTTAAGCACTGTGTCCACTGGGCAGCTGGGAGACTTCCAGATCTCCCACTCAAGCTAAAATCTCTAGATACCCTCAGGAGGGATCATTATACTGATTAGAAGAGTGCCTGTGATGCCCTCAGCAAATCTGCAGGCCTCTCTGGGGAGCACAGGTACCTTCTCCTGCAGGTTAACAGCACAGGGGAGCATTGAATCTACAATGCTGAATCAAAGGCAAAAGAAAGGAAAACTAAGAAGTTAGAAAGGATGAGCAGCAGGCAAAGAGAAAGATGAATGGCTCAGACAAACTTCAGTGATAGATCACTAAGTTGCAAGCCTACGCGAAGCACTTTAGAGGTGAAATTTTGAGGCCAAAATCTGAAGTGGAGGAAGATGTTTATTTTTGGCTTGTCAGATACAAGGATACAAGCTTACTTAGTTACAGCTGTACCACTCCTTCAGTTCATAACCAACTATGCATGCTGCCATTAGAACACACATAACCAGAGAAACTGCTGGAGTGAGACAGAAAACTCCCCAGAGAAGTTCCCAGGTGGAAAATGCGTGGGAATAAGAAACGAAAGGCTGATCTGTGCTCTATTAGATCAATGCAATTGCATCAAGTATCCAGTAGGTTTATGTTGCCTCATTCACAGCAAACTAAGACTTATCATGCTTCTCATAAAGCATGAACTTAAACCTCTGCTTCCCTTACATGGGCAGCACACTGGAACATGTGTCCTCTCTCTCACCAGCTGTGGGATAAACACGCAATCCAGGTGATGGTAGCAGACAGGGCCACTGAAGTCTTTTGCAATATAGCCTCCCCAAAGGCTGACTTCCTGACTCACACTGTCCTTCCAAAGGAAAATGGCTTATATGTTCAGCATTGTGAATCTAAAACAACTACCAAAGCTAATAGCGACACATTTGCATCAGCTTCAGAAACTAAAGGAAAATGGAGACATTATTTTCATCACAGCCACTAGTGTGGGTGATACATAGCAAAACATTTTATGAATCTCTCCTGATAATTCATTTTACTTCAACAAATAAATTAACTTGGTCATTTCTACTACTTGAATATGAAGCCAAAGTAATGATGAACAGTGGAAATTGCTGGTCTGTTTATTGGCATTTGACATCAGTGTCACTAGATTGTAGACTAAAGAGTCAATTTCAGGCTGCAAGGAACATTAGGTGGTTTCAAGTTCAACCTCCTCCTTGAAGCAGGACGAGATATGAGACGAGGCTGATGAGACCATTTCCTCTCATTTCTGATATCCTCTCATTGTACCAACATTTCAAGGACTAGAATGGGGTAAAATAGGCCAGTAAACTAAACACTAAGAAACATCCCAAAGCCTGCAATTAGTGGTTAGCCCAAAACAAAGTTGTGTTGTGCAATATATTTAAACATGAAGGAAAAAAAGAAGAAGATAAAAATAAAGATTAGGAAAACAAAGATATTAAAAGCTCCAGGGCATAAAGGGCTACTTTAAAATCAATGCAGATGAAAAAGAGCTGCCATCTGGAGGCAGTATTTATTCAGGACTCACTGAACCATCTCTTTCTGTTTAATATGTACACACCTACGCAAGTCTTCAATATTTTTGTCCCATGTGGAGCAAGTTAGCCCAAATCTTGTCTTGGACAGATTCCCCATATAACTCTTGCCATTGCCACGATAGCAGTCTGAAAAAAGAATGTTGAGACAAAAAAGTGGAATGATAGTGCAACATTAAGAAGAAAACTCTTCCTTTCCATCAGTAATCCAAATTATTAAAGACAAGTGCTGTTTAGCAAATGTTATACACTATTAATCAGACAATTGTATAAGTCAGATCAGAAGAAAAATGGAAAATAAATTTCAAATTTACGTACATAATCTCCTGTTTAAAAGCTTCATTCCCAACACAGCAGTATTTTAAATTTTGTCTTACTTGCATATACTTGGAAAATTTATTTCATAAATAGTTGGTTTATGATTAATTTAGAAGGGTCACACAGAATATCCTAGAAGCTGTCAAAACTAGTTTATACAAAACCATGAAAAAGTGGTCCTCTATTTCTCCCTCCACAAAAAACTGGCATTCAGTTTAGTTTTGTGTAGTTTCCAGATATTAGCAATGGTGTATAATTCTAGAGTCAAGTAATTCTTCAGAAAAATCAAAAAAATCATCATGACTTCAATTTTAATGTAATTCAAAACTTAGCTGTTCACTCCATCAGAACTCATGTTTAATTCATAAGCTTTTATCACAAGCCTTTTTGAGAATTTTCAAGAGAATTGTTTAAAATGATCAGAACTATAAAGACATTTTGTATAAAGCACTTAATTTCATATTCATCAGTATTTTTACTTTTTGATAATTGATACTTTACAAGAAACACAGAATGACTATAAAAGTTTCATCCTTTCTCTGACATAAGTCTTGGAACTGAAACTTTTTCAAATTTACAGAAAAATCATCTAAAATTTAAAGATGGAGGTGTTAATGTAGCCTGATATAGGGTTATAGGTCTGAGGTGTTGGCCTCAGTTGATGCTGTGATTGACATCCATTTAGGATGCAACATTACTCCTTACAGTAATATCAAAATCTCATGGGAAAAACATTTGCGTGAAGACTCAGAATGAACCTCCCAGGCAGAGGTAGGTAAGAGCTCAGAGGATCAATCCCTTCTAGACAAGGAGGCATGTGCAAGAAAATAAAACAGGGAAAAAAATCACTTTTGGTAGTCTGAAATGCATTTATGAAAAGACTATGAACCAAGGCAGTCATCTCAGCTGTGGAAAAAGGCCTTTCAAACTAAGAAATGTAAAAACAATAGAGTCGATGCATAGATTGGCCTTGTCTAAAAATCAGATCAAATCAAATCTTTCCTGCAGCTTTCCCTGCTGGACTCACAAATTAACCTGAGAAAGGAATCTCATTTACACCACAATTAATCCCAAGCATGCCAATAAAGCCAAAGTAGAGTTACATAGGTGCAACACAGACACAACTTCTCCAGTTTTCAAGCACACTATCACCCTTTCCTCTGTTACCTTGTTCATTTGATACATCACACTTAGGAATCTGGGAGCAATAACCAACACGGATGTTTGGGTCAGTGGTAAAGCACCAGGGTGATTCAGATCCATCTGGATTTCGGCAGTAGTTCTCCCTCAAATCCCTATAAAAATAAATATGTTAGCTCGCAGCAGGGATAACCTAAGCTCACCAATGTGGTTGATTGTTTTTTGTTATGAATTAACAAAAATACAGGCGCATTCATGTCTCTGTGTTACTGATCAGTGTCAAGTGCAAGGAGATGAGGAGGCACTAAAAACTCAGTGTCCAGAAAAAAAATATTAATTGTAATAAGAGTATGTTTGTGGAAATTCATTTCCAGCAGACAGATGTTTTGATGGGATATAAGATTTCATTTGAAGATTAACAATATTTTTATTCGGGATCCTCCATCAAAATTTTCATTCAGCTGACATTGGATACACCTGCAATACATTACAAGTGCTTTTAAATACAAACATTTGCCAGAGTGCTTAAAACTCCCTGTACTTTGAATGGTTCTACTGACTTTGGAGAAACAGAACTAGACTATCAGTAACTCATTTAAGAAACTGAATCATGGAAAATAAAAAAAGTGTATGTTGAAATTCTACACAGCTGTTACCTTTAAAGTAAAAGTTAGTCACAAGGGAGCATCTTTAAATGTCTTTTTCAGCTTGCATGAAATATTCAAAGCTCTTAAATGTAAGTTTTATTTCCCCGTCTCCTGACAGTTGTTGCCATGTTCTGTGCATCTCCATATTTCACTGTATTTCTTACATCTGCAGCACTTACTGATAACAGACTATGGAAAGAATGGGCCTAATACTGTAATTCTTACTGATATTTACCCATCAATAAAGATATTTAGTACAAACTGGGCTGTGGCTCCAATCTGATCAACAAGGCTTCCCCTATGCTTAGTTAAAAAAGGACTGCCTAAAATTAGTAGATTATTCACACCTTGGAAGTTCATGAACCATACAGAAAGTATGTTCAGTATGACCAGTGGTCAGACAAGTAAAAGCAGTCCTATTGATGCATCTATATTTAGTCATTACACAGAAAAAGGATTTAAAATATGAAAAATTAAAGTGCTTTCAAGTATTATAAATGTTAATTATAACAAAGATTACATTCAGATAATATTTACTGCTTATTAAATTAAAGTCAGCAATCAAGCTGCGAAGAAGTTTTCAGTTCCATTTAAAAAGCCAGTGCCAATGTATCAGCACTGCCAGGATTCAGGTCCCTGCCTGGAACACATCCAGACACTTCACAATCAAATTGGTGAATACATGCTTGAAGGAAAAGTACATAAAAATCCCTAGGATTTCACCCAAGTTCATCTAGAACTACTGCTTTGAGATCTGAAGGACTGATTTTCCCAGGCTCAAATGGTTTTGAGCCTCAGCAGGTAGAGTGGATGCATCGGAACATGGGGCAGGGACAAGGGCCCTGCGGTCTGCTCCAGAGGCCTGAATTATTAAACATTTTAAACGTTTTAAACCTCAGCTCTTTTCCCACTGCAGTAAAAATACCCACATGTCTCTACTCACTTGCATTTGAAGTTCTCAGGAGTGATGTTGTGCTGGTGAGGATGCTGGGAGTCCCACCTCTGGCACTGGACTCCGCTCCATACGGTGCTGACGGTGCCACGGTAGCCCTCGCCCTGTCCCCGAACACACGTTGTGGTCTCAGCTGCCGCCTCTGTGCTGTTCACGGAGCTTTCCTCTGCAGACCCAGACAAGAAGTGCTGGTTCATTCTCCCAAGTAGGGCTCAGGATGTCAGGTTTGAACTCCACTTTACTGATGGAGTCATGGATTACGTGATGTTGAAATCATGGCAATTGCAGTTCTTTGGTGAAATTGCCAATGTGGTTATAGAATAGTTTTCTCCTTTTCAGATTTACAACGCCCACCAAAAATCCGAAATCAAAATAAATGCCAGACTTTATGCAAGTTTATCCACTTGTATGCAGAGTCTGCCATATTTTCTTGCATGAGACACCTGGCCTATGCTGTACCATTGGAGGTTAGAATATTTTCCCAGTTACTTTTTCAAGTTCAGCAAATATCATTCCCTCAGCTTTAATAAACTGAGTGATCACCCACATGCGCACTGTTAAACATGGTAACACATATTTATATAGGATTAAAATACAATTGGGTTTCTCTAAAGAATTCCCAGAATATCGGGTCACTGGAAAAAAAAAAAAGATGCAGATAAAAAGTAATAAAAAAAATAGATCATATAAATTATTTTGCTAATTTCTGTTAGAAAGTTTGGGTGGTTTTCTTATGGTTAAAAGAGGGGGAAAAGGCCTGGCTTTTGAAATCAAAGATCAGTATTCTCTACAGAGAGAAAAATGTTTTAACAACTAACAAATTCATCAGACTCAAGATCTGTTACAGATGTTGATATACTCTGCACTCACCCTGGTGTGGGCTGTCTTGAACTAAAGTCAGAAAAACAGTGGTTTTTAAATGACTCATCCACATAACTTTAAAGTCTCTTTTTATTTCTTATGCAATTTTCATAATCGCAAATTAATGGCACAGATATTGCATCAGATATATACAAAGTAGTACAAAACTAAATACATTGCAGTAAAAGTAATTCTTCTGCAATATCCTCAAAAGTTCCCAATAAAATATTTTAAAAGTATCTGCATATCTGTTGGCAATTGCTATTGTTCACAAGACTAATTTTATTAATTCTCTTAAAAGTAATAGTTGCCAGCAAAAAAGTATGTTAATAAGGTTCTTTAATTAGTTTTCTTCAAATGGTCCAGTGAATAGAACAGTATTTGTGTGTTACTCATAATGTATTTCTCTCCTGGTAACTTGAGCCAGTTCCTTGAACTCAGAGAAAATATGGATCTTAAGGAAACCAAATGTCATAACAGATGGTTTTGGCTGATTTGCTGACTGATCTTTGACGTTAAAGATCATTTCCCTGTCAGATGATAACATCAAGTTGTGCAGTTGAATTTTACATTTATCCATGCATCCCTTTTGCTCTTCATCTGGTTGATGTTTTTAAATCAGTGTCTCATGGTCAAATTAATTTCCTGTCCCTCCTTCCCTAGGCAAATGTTGTCCTATTTCAACGGGATTCTGAGTTCCAAGGTCACTCCCAAGTCAAAAGGATATGGCACTGCAAGTATCACAAGGAGATTTTTGCAGGCTGACAAATGCACTCTTTCTAGGGGACTCATCAAACAGTCCTGCAGCTAGCAAAATATATAGACTTTTGTCTATATATCACTTTTTAAATAATTAAACTACTAAAAGGTGAATTCATACAACTTAAAGTAATAAAAAGTTGCAATATTTATGTTTTCCATCATAAATAATATATGAAAACAAATGCCAATATATTCTAATATAGCATCTAAGCTGATTAGAGTGAACATAGCTATGCCAGATTCAAATACATATTAGTCTTTTTCAAAAATACATGCATTTCTTTTATACAGATGAAAGTGATTTGGGAAAAAACCTAGGAGGGCAGGGGAGAAGAGTTCCCTAAGATAAATTTGAGCATACACACTGCCTTCATAATATTTCCTAAGTAAATTAATAAATTAAAAGTATGTAACTCTAGCAAAAAGCTTAAACAATACTAATAATGTACAAAAAAATCAATCCATTATAAGCTGTTGCAAAGACCTTATTTATGCACAAAAAAGTTACTATTTCAACTGTAATGACTTGTATCGGCACCTACTGTATACTCAGTCATGCTAAAGAAAAAATCATTAGGTTAGTGTTTATATATCATTATGTGGGATTGGGGTTTTTTTCAATCACATGCCTGAAATGAAATCAGTAATGCCTCAATTGGTTTAAGCAAGGTCACAGTAAATTTGTAGAGCATTCCTTCTTGTGCATCTGCAGATGTATGAGTCTGGACAGTGACCTCTACCTGTAGATCAGATTTTACAACTTGGCCATGTCAAAATACACAATGTAAAGGCAACAGAAGAATTTAACTTTGACATTGTCATGAACACCTGCACAGCCAAACAAGCTCCTTTCTGGAAAGATTTGCACTATAATGACTAAGAGAAAATTATTTCAAATATGCAACGTGTTTATCTGTTACTACTTTGCGGCAGGTCTCATTAAGAATTCTAGTAATGAGAGGGATCACTAAAATATTCTTATTTTAACTAATAAAACAGTTCCATTGTTTCAAAAGATTCACAGAACCCTCCCCAAATTCTTCTTACTCTATCGCCTGCATCTACTACAAATATCTCATTTTGAAACATGAAAAATAAGACGCCAAAATATTTCTGAAATTTAATTCTGAAATTATGAGGGCTCATGGCCTCAGAACCCATTCCCATTCTGGCTATTGAGTCTCACAGAAAACTCAAAACTTACCAATAAAGGCTTGAGAAATCCTTCATTCATCTGTCGATTCCACAAACAGGCGTGATAGGAACAGTCTCCCTATTCCTGTTAATGAAAGTTGGGCTGGATGTGCACAGGAACAGGCAAGAGCTTGAGGAGCAGTGCCTGCCTCACCAGACACTGCAGATTACACAGCACTTGCCAAATTAAGAAGTGCCCAGGCTGTCCAAGCCTACAACTTACATAGATATCTCCATTCAGTACTGGTCTTGTTGCTGAGGCTAATTACTCATCACCCACATACCAAATTAACTAAATCTAATAACTCTGAGCATGAACATCAGATGTGCAGAGCAGTGGTGAAAGAGCCCTAAGACCACACTCACCAAGTTCTCTTACAAAGCAAAATCAAGATCAAGATCAAAATCTATAAAATTGAATTCCCATCCTTATCCCAATAAATACTCTAAAATATAAATTAAGATCTGAAAATCCAAGGGAATGTCCCAATGAGGAAAACAATTTTAATTTAGTTATATTCATTTAAAGTCAACAAGCAATCCTTACTTCGCAGTACTTACTGGTATTTCATAATGGAAGTTCCCAGGATTTTTTTGCTTCAGTTCATGTTTTTTTTAGTTCTGAACTGAGATTGCAGGCACTTTTAAGGAAAGATGACACAAAATACCACCTTGCAAAAGACCACTCTTTATAATTTATGGATTAAGTATCACTTGTTACTTCTGTAGGAAAGTTCATTATGAACAGAAGAATTTGGTAATTGTTGGCAACATTTTCCTTCTTTTGAACTTTGTGGGTTTTTGTTTTCTTTTTTAAATTCTGGATGGCTAAGATTAAACATGTAATTCAGACAACCACATGAGGGGATTTCCCACTAGTAGAATTTCTACCTCAAGTTCACTCTAAAGTCCTCAATCTAAGGGCAGTAGCGCAAAGATACCCTTTTTTCCCATTAAAAAAAACCCTCCCTTTTCTTGATACTTCAAAATACATAACTTTATTAATTTGGGCCAGCTCATGCATTCATAAATGCTTAAGTAAAAAGATGAAACATTATCCTGAGCCTTATGTGTAAAGCCACAGATAGTCTTCTCAGTTCTGGTTCTCACAGCAACGCCAGCATGAGGGAATCAGCAGGGGCCTTGAGTCATTCGACAGCTGAAGTAAGCAGCTAGATACTATTTCTGACTTTAATCCCAATGACCCAGAAGAAAATCCTGCAAAAATTTTAGGTCAGTGGTGAGAATCACACTGACTTAAAAGAAGTTAGAGATTTTGCTGTAGAATTCATGTTCTTTCATGACAACACAACCTCTGTATTTGTGGAAAAAGACACAGTTGGAAAAGAGGCAAAGTCCTAAATTATATCATGAGGAGAATACCTGTTCTTGCTTATATTCATGTGATGTCTCTTCTACAGTGTCAGTCAACAGAAGGAAAATGTGCCCTGATTTGTAACAAAACAATTTTAAAAGTTGATTCTAAATGAGATCCATGCAATTCTGCCAATGTTAGTAAGAAAGCTGAGAGATGTTTTGAAGCTGCTCATGCTCAGTTACACTGCTTTCAGGCATCCCTTCCTTTAGCAATGCATTTGCACTTCTGGCACAAGTTTAGTGGCAGCTCCTTCCTTTCCACATTTTCTTCAATGTACCATGACACAGTACAAGAATGGAAAAAAAAAAAACCACTGATTTTCAGTGTTTTGCTTTTCTTTTTCAGTAAAAACATATGAGAAAGTGAGGAAATCAATTATAGCCAAGCTCAAGAATCACAGTATGGAAGAACTCATTGTCACCTACAACCTTCACACATACAATTCATTTGTCCATGAGCACAGAGAGATCTTTCCAGGCTGTTCCAGTATCTACAACAAGGCTTTAAATTTAAACAATTTTTATTTTAAATCTATTAGAAAAAATAAAAATCTCCTCACAATTAGAGTTCTCAAATTTCACTTTCAAATTATCATAGAAATTATGAAAATTATTTAAGAAGGATCTTTTTTGAGGAAATATGGATTAAGCTGTTGCATAAACACTGAACACTGGACCTATCCTTTGTCTCCTTTTAAAGCAAGATGGAAGGTAATACTTTATCAACTGTTAATTATCAGTCTCTTTTCACTGTCTCCTTTCTATAAACATCTTTATCTTACACAAATATTAACCTTAAACAAGTCTTACTTTTATTTGTTTGCATACAATGATTCAACAACTAACTCTTTAACCAGAACTGTGCATTCAAATGGGCAGTTAAAATATCTATTTCTAAAGAATCAGTAATTCAATACTGGTGGGGTTTTGCCTTCCCACAGGCTGTGAGCACACTGCAACAGTTCATTTTAGATCTAGATTCTCAATTTTGGTGTTTCATTACTTGTTCTTTCCCAACAAACCAAGGCCTTTACTGAACTTCCTCAAGGCTTTTCAGGCTCTGGTCACCACTGACTACTGTCAGTGACTACTGGGGGAAAGGCTAAATCCATAGTAAAGGCACCTAGGTTGGCTGGACACCAGGTAGGCATCAATGAAACACTGTCCTTAACACAGTAAGTCCAAAAAGCTCTGCAGTTCTCAAATGACTGATATGTGTAACTTCCTTTATGGGCCTCAGCACCTCTCTAAAGCTCTTCTATAGAGGAGCTGCCACCTCTTTGGGTTTTTTTTAAAGCATTATAAGTCCCCTACTCCTGTCTTCCCTGTAGCCAGTGCTCTCATTCATGCCAAAACAACAGTAATTTTCCTTTTTCATGTTTGCTGGAACTGCTTCCATTTCTTCATTTCATCTTACACTTCTTCATTGCTGTTAGTTGTCCTTTTATCCTCTCTTCTAAATAAAAATTGTCTCAAGCCAAAACCACAGACACATATGTGAGCAACTTCAAACCAGTCCTGGGGTCCCCAAAGTCTTAATCCAAATCCAGTTTTTGCAGCTTGAGCCATCTCTAATTCCTAATTGCTCCTGTCATCTCTTTCTCACAGCCCTGGCTGTAAGCCACAATGTTTTATGCTGCATTCTGTGCTTGGAAATAAAATTACAATGCCCTCTCTCTCTTCAGTCTTAAAACCATATTTATTTTCTAAACGCTTCCTTCCACCAACTTTTTTGCCGAAAATTTTGTATATGAGCTGTTGTCAGCATTTTGGCTATAGAGCACTCACGACATGTAGCAAAAGCCACAAGCAGCATGCTGCCTTGTGGTCACTCCCCGAAGAGAGGACACCTACATTTTTGTATATGGTCCAAGGACTTGGATTTGCAAGCATTTTTCCTAATTAGTATTTCTTGTAAATTAAATAAACAGTCCTCAGCATAGGAATTAAAAACCTGTGTGGGAATCCAAACCACAAAGCTATAAAGACCTATAACTCATGATGTTCTCTTTTTAGTGCTCTGAGATTGCAAACAGCCCCAGCTTCAGAAACACAGAGCAGCCACCGAAACCCAGAATAGCCAAGTGTTTTGGGCTCCCTGCTAGGAGGTGGGAAAACAGTTTTTTTATGAGTCTCAAGAAAGATAGAAAACTGAAAGCAGAGTTTTGATATTTTCTGTTAGTATTCTGGCCATCAAGATGGTGAATCAACAGTAGCATCAGCAATAAATTCCCTCACTAGGTTATAAAGGAAAGCACTGAACACTGCATAGAGGGCAATGTCATATGCCTGTGAGAAAAACCTTTTGAAAGTATCTGCTGGTTTAAGCTTTCAAGACCCATACTTTTTGGGGTTTTTTTCTCATATGGATTTCCTTATTAATTTCAAAAGGGATACAGTATACAAAGGTATTTCAAAAGAGATACAGGGAAAATTCATATTTTACAAGTTTTACATGCAAAATTTCCACTGATTTTAATATAGTTTCTAACTGAAGGAAAGAATTTCTGGTTCCTTCAGTGAACTTTTGCCTAGAAATGAGACAAAAGGCTTTCATCACAATATGAAAATCATTACACTGTGTTTTGGAGTTTTTTTTTAATTTCATTTTGATCTTTACCTTTTCTTGAGGGCTCTACTATTACTTTGTAGACAAAGGTTGGCAATTCAGTAGTTTTCAGGAGATCTCCCACCTAACTATTTTATAAGGCTGAGGCCAGACTGTAGATGCTGGAAGCTGCATGGAGAGTAAGCTTACGTGACCAGCAAAGCCAGATGTGAATCCTCAGAACACTGACACATCAGCTCAGGAAATGCCAAAGGATAAAGGTTTATAAAAGTTGCATTTGTGAAACAGTCAGCTGTAACTTAGGAATACTTTTTTTCATAATAGTAACATATTTACCAGGGGAAAAGAACAGTTCTAGTATGTTACTCATGATTCATAAGTTATCTAATAATTGGAGAAGTGTAGGAAGCACAGTTTAGTTTAAAAAAACAAACCACAAACCAAAACAAAACCCAAACCAACACGGGCCAAAAGTCCAAAGCAACAGCTCCTTACTTAATGGAGTAACGAAACAATTGAGAGATGACTCAGTTGCACAGCTAAGCAATCTGTGTTCACAAAGGAGAAAGTCTGAGCTTTCCCCTTAATCAAAGATTATCAGTAAGCCTAGGTACAAATACAGGAATTAGTCCTGTAGTTCACAGGTAAGACTTCCACCATGGGTGTGACTTAGTGGGTGCCTGACCCAAAACAAGCAGCAATCCTGCCAAGTTTCTTCAGTCTCTGAAGAGCCTCATTAGATATTGGCCTAAGTATTGAAATAATTTTGCCTTTTTTACAGTGGAATAATTTTGATATTTTAACTACCTTATACTGGAATTACAATTACATGAAATAGAATAAGTTAAATTACCCTACATAAGGAGGTACATAATATTCTTACTCAATCCTTGAATTTCAGAAATTGACATATTTATTAGACCAGACTGAATCTCCAATTAGAACTGGCCTAAGATATGAGCAGCCAAGGAGAGAAACTTCTAAATTATTGGTGATTCAGGCAGAAAGCATGGCATAATTTGTTTGATAAGAATTCTAAGTGAAGGTGGGTAATCTCTCTCTAGGTGAGAATAAAGTTTCATGCCAGAGCTATTACCTCTTTCCCACCACTCCTCCTAATATTTAGAGCATGTCTCAATGAAACTGATTCTGCCATCTGCCTTAGCCCCAGTATTACAATGAATGTCTAGAAAAATCGCTTTGTGCAAGTTTTCAAGGAACATCCAAGAGTTTTACCTTCCTCATTGTCCCCTTACTTCTCATTTAAGACATCTAATTATCAGTGAAACAGAGCTGTCAAAGCTGTCACCAAAGTTAAGATGATCTGAGCTTTGTAGACACAACATGCTGCAGTAAGCTCTAAAATCCTAAACAAGAGCATCTCAAAGTGAGCATCCAATAACTGTACACCTTAATGCCACTTTGATTCAGTTCCCTGTCTCTAAAGTGTGGTTAACAAACCCTTGTAGCTGATGGATGAAAAGAAATTCATTGCCTGTGGACTGCTTTGGAGTGCTGAGTAACACAGAGACACCCGTGAGGAAATTAATAACTTATCTTCAGGACAAGACTGAATGATTTGCAGGACCCAAGGCCTAGAACTGCAAAGCAGTGAAGAGTTGTCAGCAGAGGACACTGAAGAGGCATTGTGTATGTGCAACAAATGATATTTGGTACTCTCAAGTGATAATGCAAATGTTCAACATGGCCAAACTAATGCTGCACATGAGATCCTCATGTCATTGATTTTCCTACATTTTAATGCAATATAGTACATAAGACATATACATATTCCAGTTGTAAGTAACACACAACTCTTCTTTCATCTCCAGATTAAATATAAAGTGTTTATAGGAGACAGTCTTTGAAAGCTATGTTTTAAAAGCCAATGAATGGCAATGAATGAACTAGAGGTGGTCCTACACTGCTTGAAATATCTGTGTCCAGATTTTGGAAAGGAAAAGGAAGTAATAAATTTTGCTTGAACTCACCACACGTTTTAATTGCACAGTACTCCCAGGGGGTGTTAGGGTCAAGAGTGTAGCACCATGGTCTCAGCTTGCCGTCAGGATTGCGGCAGTAATTATCATCAAAGCCCTTGTCAGGATATCTGCAAACCACAATGAGAAACGTGTCAGGGAAGCCTTCCTGGCAACACTGCCCTGCCTTCTACAAGGTACTTAAAGGACAGATTTCAGCAGAGGAAAACAAGAACCGGTTCCTATTAACCTTGGGTCTGATCCTGTAGGATGGATGCAAATACGCTTTTAACGCTGTTAGAAGTTAATAACATATAAACACTTTCCAAATCTGCAGCAGAATCAGACCTCCACTGAGGGGACTCCCTGCTGGGCTAATGCACAGGGTACCGGATAGACTAACTCTGCTAATTGCTAAACTCTTGCTCTTGTGTCTGTCAACCGATGACCAGACACTTAAGCCGCTCTTTTATTTTTTAAACAGACCAATTAAACATGGATTATCTAAATACTGCCTGCCATTCTGGACTCATTAAGAAAACAGGTTGTTCAGTGCAACAGCCCTGGGTTCAAACTGGAAGTTATTTTGAGTGGCTATGCTAATAATGATAGCTCCATTTTTGTAACAGAGCTCATTTTTGGTCATGCCCTCATTTCAAGCACTGGGAGAAAGAAGGATAAAAAAAGGAAATAACTTCTGTCTCACTTTAGCTCATTAAGGATTGATAATATTGTGATATTTTGTTATATTTAAATGTTTCCACATTCCTACAGCCATCACTGATGATGAGACAGATATCCAACATAGGCAGGGGTTTTTTGTATAAATACATGATACTAACATCTATAAACTTGAAGGAGATAAATACATCAGGGTTTTTTTCTTTCTCTAGTTAGTACAAATTGTCTGGGCCTTCCAGTTTTATTGAAATGTGTTTGCAAAAGAAACAAAAATGTAAGTTTGCCTCTGAGGGAAACATATAAAGTATATAAGAGAACAATAAAGTTAACTACCTGGGAACCTGAATCCATTTACAACTGCAAGCAGATGTGCTTCACACAAGCAGAGAAAAATATGATTTATAAGTGTATGTTTTTGCTACGATGCTTTTTCTTTCAAATGATCATGCTATTGCAACCTGATCTCCTGTTTCTTAGGAAAAGTCAGATTCCTTCAACTATACAAGGGACAAGGATAAGATTTAAGTAGAATTTAAAAAACCAAAAACAAACAACAAAACAAAATGACAACAAAACCACCAAGGAGAAACCTCACAAAACTGAGAATTCAGTGGTAGTGAGGAACGTGGTAATTTCAGAACTAGCAGCACTAACTTGTTTTCTGCTAGGTATAAAACAAACTGTAGGGATCAAGTTGTGTCCAAGGATTTCCCCAAAAAATAGTTAGTGGGCTAATAATACATCAGAAAACTACATGGGTTTGGCCTCCCTGTAGGTGCAGTGATGAGCCTGGATGCTGCTGGAGCATGTTCCATGTCAAATAGCATGGAAAGTGCATGTTACCACCCAAGAACAAAGGTGAGTCCAGGAATGGTAAAATATCTGTAGTCACATCTCACAAAAAGCATTTGGAACAGCTCTTGATGTAAAGAATCCATGTTCTATAATACAAATGTCTGTCTTTGCACTGAATGCTCCATCCTGCCTAATGTTATATGGCATGTTCCCACAGTATTTCAAAAATGTTATTTACTAATTAAAACTTAGGTAGATGTTTCAGAATCAAGCTCTGAGTTTCTTCATGGGATGGAGTAGTGCCTGTGAGCCGTATCTTTTCCTGTGATCCTACTGGATGTACTTGTCTTTTCCTCAATTAAAACTAGACTTCCCAGTCAAAGGTTCTTCCCCCAATACTCAGGGAGGCTTCTGCCTTCCTTCATACCCATCAAGCAACAGTTGATATAAAAAAGGCCAACTAATACCTTTAAGAAACAAATATTAGCAATAAGATATATAGCAGAGTTTCAAACTGTTCCACACAATTCAACAGTGAAGCTATGCAGGATTCCCTGAGAGCTGTCTCAGTTGTGCACTCCTCCTTCCCCAGTACATTTGGGCATAGACCTCCTTCTTAGACCTAAGAAAGAGCCTGAGGTGTCAGAGATCTTCCAGAACTCTACATATTTCTGGTTTTTCCCCCTTCAAACAGCAGTAGCTGTACTTCACTTCCAGAACTGAACTGAAGCATCAAGATACATATCTGGTGTCAAAATCAAGACTTTATCTCCGTTTCTGGAGAAAAGGGAGGAAAGTATTAGCCAAAGAGATAAATGTATTCTTTTTAAAGAGACAGATGCTGATCTCCAGCTCTCCTGGAAATAAAAAGAAACTTAGTATCTAAAGCCCTTCACCAATATTTCTTTTTCCCTTTGTTTTAGTTTTTTTTAAAAAACATGTAGAACTGGAAACTTGATTTTTTACAAATTAAATTTTCATACAAGGGATATAAACCAGAGTACTAATAAAAGGATATCAGCAGTTATTCACCTCCTATGATACACTTCAAACCCTGCTTTCCTCCATGCAATAAATATTTTCACAGGATGTTTGAGTTTAAGCAGAAAAGGACAAAAAACTTATCCCCCTTATGTTGCTCTATGCCCAAGACATTACCCTCAGTGGTCCTCCTTCGATCCTGAGGCATAGCTGTGCCCATGAGCAGTACACAAGAGAAGTGGAATTTCAGAATATAATCCTGCATCCGCTAATAGCTAAAAACAGGCCCTGCAGGAGCTGTTTGAGGATACCCTCCTTCTGCTCGCTTTTTTTTTTTTTTTTTTCACTGAGGTGACAGAAAAGTGAGTTGTATTTGTCCTGAGCCAAAAGCACTGTCCAACAACAGGTAGACTGGTGCATTTGGAAAGATTACTATCTTTATTCCTTTTCTGCATCATTGCAATTTACAAAGCCATAAATGAAAATAGGTTCAAATCTGTCCAGATAATCCTTCCTGGTTTCCAGGTTATTTACATTGCACCTGGATGATATAGATATAGACTATAATTGTCTCTAGAGACTGCTGTACTTTAATAGGTCATTTGTTCCAGACCTTTTTCTCTCATTTTCAACTTACATGACTACCAAAGAAAACCACAACAAATCAAAACCTTCAACATTTTAAAAATGTGGTATAATCAAAGTATAATTGTTGCTACTTTTAGTGACCATTCACAGAGCTAATTAACATCAACATATCAGAAATATGCTGAACTACATTATGCTTCTGAAGGCCCACACAGGTCAGCTCAATCTGGATGGGTTGCTTTTTGATTAAAGGAAAAACAAACAAAAAAACCCCTTTATTTCTGTCTGAAAATTCTCAAGAAGATGTTCTCAGAAGGAATTATTTCAAAGAGGAACACGATTGTTCGTAAGACTGTGGTTAGTCTGAAAAGTCATTTTGCAAACAATCAGAAATTAATGGAAAAAAAGAAATTTCCTCTTGACAGTAGAATTATTATTGTTTGTACCCAGGAGTTCTATAAATGTTTCACTCCCAAGGAACAAAATTGTTTCTGTGACTTATTGTAGAATGCACAGTAAGTGCATGGCAAAACTCAGAAACAGATTATCTTCAGTCCCACTCTACTAATACAAAATATTTATTGTGGCAGAACAATGGGATAGCCTGCTATTATTCATAAAGCAGATCATCCATGCCAAGGGAAAAAACAGATTATACCTCATAAGCTCCAAAACTGCAGATCCTGAATATTTTGCTGAATAATCAGGCTTTCTAAAACCTATCAGTACCCATATTTCTTAGAATAAAAATAATGCTTTATTTGGTGAAACACTTTAACATGTAAAAAGATACTTTCAGTGGAATGTCTTCATCATTCTGGTTCTGTTGATTCTTGTATGCATCGTCTGGCAGTTTAAGTTTATTCAAAACAATATATAAATGGAGTTAATCCAAAATCCAGAATAAAACTAAATGAAACTGTAGTCCAGTTTGAGATTAATAGAGACCCCATCCTGTGTGGCCTAACCCCTGCACACCCTCTCCCTCCCTCAATAGTTTCAGAAGTGAGTATTATGGATGACCCTTTGTAGTTGGGTGAATTTGGCCCTATAGGACAAACCCTAACAGATATAAAATTTGTCTTACTATTTCTGACTCAGCTTTTGGCACTAAATAAAAAAAATAGTAATAAAAAAAAAAGTCTAATAAGGAAATCAATGTTCATATAATGCTAAACAGAATGATTAAATCCTTTCTCAGGGTGAAAAAACAAATGTAGAGGGCAAACAATTTGGTCAAACAAATTGGATACTTAAATGTAATTATAATGGAAGGTCACCAACAGCTTTCAAACTGTTCAATATTGCAGTAGGAAGATATTGTTATTTGACAATATTGGAAGTTTATATTCACTAATTGTGTTAAAAAATCTAACAAAAAATTATGACTTTAAATCATTATATACTATGTGATTAAGATATTTAAGCTGACTGCAGCAGCAAACCAATACATACAGAAATATTCAGAGGTTGTTTATTTACTGTCAATGAAGTAAGGAGGAGTTTTTGATCAATTAAAGCAGTAGAAACATTAGTACACTAGTCAGGCAAGTGATGTAACCAGAGCTACACCAATCCCACCCTGCATTTCCACCATGTCAGTAGCCAGCCTACACCATGGGCCAGGAGCCCAAGCATCTAAAACCGGTGAACTCTATAAAAATTTCAGCTGATCTAATGCTAGTTTTACTCAACTTGTTCCAGAATGTGTGTAATTTTGAAATTATGACCACATGGTCTTGCTTGGGGGGGAGGAGAGGTTACCTCTCTGGACGAAACTTGTGCTTGTGTGGTCTCTGAAGATCCCAGCGCTGACACTCCTTGCCTGTCTCGGTGTGATCCATTGGCCCTCTATAACTCTCTCCATTGCAGGTCATGCATTCAACTAAGAAAAAAAAATAGACAATAGTCATTTATTACACTGATGACTTATACCACAAAAGAAAAAAAAAAAAAAGGAGTAAAAAATACCCAACAACAAAACCAAAAAATCCTAAACAAAAAAAATCAACAAAAACCCAAAAACCCCTGTGTCCCTGCTCTTATATAATGACACCAACCTAAAGAGGTAGTAAAAATAAATGGTACCTTTCTGTTGGGTTGGTATATGTAATGTCCTTTAGAATATAATTGTATCTGTTAGTGTTAATCTGGAGGCCTAAATTTTTTATTACTTTATGGGACACTTAGAGTTTTGAAGCAGGTAGAGAGGAGCTACTAAAGGCATTCATGTTCCTATCAGTCTTTTAAAGTTACTTATGGCTAATAAGAGAGAGAGACACATATCTATGGAAGAAGTATTTTTTAAAGGTGATATCTAATTAAGCACCAATTATTTTTCTAAATCACTCTAAGTCACAGTATAATTACAGGACAAGTTTAAGTGCAGAATATTGGCAGAATCCTAAATTCAGTGCAGTACTGTATGTCTCTTTATATACCCAGAATTTTCAGCTGTGTATGATACTGTATCTTTTTCATGATAATAGTTTTTGACAGTTTAAGCTAAGATATATTTTCAGTCCTGGTTTGGCAAAGTCGGTAGGAGGTATGGGGAGAGGGAAAGTTACCAAAGGAATTTGAAAGCATTGTTAAACAAAATTTAAAATGAAAGGTCTAAAGATATAAAATAAATTCACCAGCATTAACTGTAGATAAACTTCTCAAATACTCCCTAATTAGAGTAATTGTAAGGAAGGATATTTAGAAAATACTATTGTATGGAATTACAGATATTATAAAACATCAGCTACCAGAGCCTTCATCCTAAAGTGAGCTCCAGGTCAAATATCCCATTTGAAGTTACATAAGTTTATCTTTAAATGATAGATTTTAACAAATTCTCAAGCACTGTGTAAATTATTCTATTCATCCTTCTTTTCCTCTCCTCCTCTCCATCTCCCTCCCTCCCTCTCCTTTTCCTTTCCTAACAACATCGCTATTGCACGTGACCCATAAGCAGGAAAATTAAAGGCATCCTATCTTGAAGATTTAAATAGATTGATTGACTGGAACTGAATTGGCTGATTAAGAGTAAGATATAAGAGCTTAGTTTGGAGGTTAACAGAATTTAAAAGTCAACAAATGCAATGGCACATAGAAAGTGTCTCTCAAATTCTGTGACTTCAAAGTCAAATGGGGTTGGATTTGCAAAGAGTTGTACTTATTTACAGTATTTATTCAAAAAACAAAATGCATGCTTATCTTAAGCTTTCATCTTGTAATCCAGTATCTTTATTTTCATCAAAAAGAAGACGAAAAGCTGATTTTACCATGGAATAACACTAGATGATTTTATCACATAGTAATACTGAAATTGTTAATGGATTCACTATGGACTAGACAAGCAAAAAAAAGGGTCACATTTGTGCGATCAGCACAACTTCTTTGTTCAAGCTCCTGCATAACCTGAAAAAAGCTGCTGAGCCTGAAACCTTCCAGCACACTGGAACCTCAAAAGATCTCTCCCTCTAACTTCTTTTCTTGCTATATGAGTTACTCTCACTGAGAATCACGTATTCTTTCTCTAAAGGCCATAAGCAAGTGATTAGCGGGAGCTCTGTGTGACTGCTGTCAGCAGAGGCAGCTTTCTGCAGAAGCTGAGCTGGGTTACCTTCTGAGCAGAGGGGGATGTCACAGACTTCGTGGCGCGTCTCTGGGCTGGTGGTGAAGCACCACGGGCCTCCCTCTTCCCCTCGGGGGTTTCGACAGTAGTTTTCCCTCAGGTCTTTTCCCCGATAGCTCGAAGGCAAAAAGCTAGTTTTAAAATGACAATCATTACAGTATAAGAGCATGCAAATGTTGGGGTTAATCATACTATTTTTACAAAGTTAGAAACAATCACATTTCTGCTTCCTTCTCCCTCCACCCTGCCTAAGCAAATTCACACACCCAAATCTGTCCGTACAGAAATACACATCTTCAGTTGGGATTACTCAACTTAAATGGCCTAAATCTGGGACAATTTGTCTGGCCCATAGCGTGCTCTAGAGAGTTTTACTCCCATCCCTCAGCTGTCCAGAGCCAGCTATCTAGGGCAGAGCCAGAGGCAGTCACACACTCCCTGCCAGGCTGCGCTGTATTCTCTCCTTCAGGAGCTCTGGGTCCACAGGGTTTGACTGGGTCTGTGGCTGGGTGAGGCCTTTCTTTCCCGTTCATGTTGGCACAAACAACTCAGCTGGGCTCAGAGCTCACCTACTTTGTGAAACCCACAAGTAGAGAAACCTCCTTGCACCCTGGTCAGGCAGCAGCAAGAAGAGATCATCAGCAGAATGCGAGTGCTGCACCTCTCTGAGAGGCTTTCGCTGCCTGAAACGGGGGACTGCTTTGCATTTCAGCTCAAGAGATTTCCCCAGATGCCGTTTTAGCTGGGTTCCTTCATGTTCTGTCACGAGCACCACTGTTGTCACCTTAGGGTCTGCTACTTACAGACCTACTCATGTATATGTTCAGACATTTAACAGCACCCCAGATGACTTAAAATGCCCAGGGTCAAGGTGTTTTCTTCTCAGGTATCTGTAAAAGTATGTGCTTAAATCTAGAGAAACCGTGTCACACACAGTGACATATATATATATATATATATATATATATATATATAATATATATATATATATATATATATATCATATAACTCATGATATATATGAGTTATATAGAGATACATAAATTTTTACACATAAAAGTAATGCTAGCTTATTTACCCCACAAATTAAGGAACAGCTAACCCCATAGTAAGGAGCCCAACCCCAGAGCTGGTTCAACAGCTCATGACCACGTTCAGGCTGCACACTGCAGACAAATCCAGGGACATTTCTCTACCTGTTACATTGCAGCCATGCTAAACATGCTAAACAGCAAAACCTCTGGAGTTAGAAAACACCTTAAAATCAAAGAACTGTCCCATGAAGTTTTTTTTTAATTGAAATACTGGGCTAACTACATAGGGGATCACATAAAACTGGTTATGTAACTTTATTTATTTATTTAATTATTGAGATCTATACAATTTATTTTTTCTTTTTTTTTTTTTTATCACTATTTAAGCTTTGGTGAAAATATCATAAATAATGCACCTTTTATTCTGAAAATACCCAACATTTTATTTTGAGTGTTTTGAGCAAAAGAAACAAGAAGAAAATTTTGACATGTAATATTTTATTCAAGTTTTATTCCCATTAATGAAATTCTTGAAGTAACTGAAGTGAAAATACCTCTCTTAATCACATTGTGGTTCTAGTCAATGCAATGTGGAAGCATTACACAAAGGTGTTTTTTTATTTTTGGTGCTTGAATAGATTAAATTTTTGTCATTCCTACTGCCTGTATAACAGATTCTGTAGTCTTATAATGTAAGTATCTTAAACTTTATTTAATTAAAGACCCCCAGGCAAACATTTTTGATGGGACATTCCAACCTGCATATGTGTTAAAATGGTATGTCAGTGCATATTAGAATACTCTATTTAACTTTGCTGCTCATTAGAAAATATAGGAAAAGGCATCTCAAATTACATCAGATATGCTGTAGGAGCATTAAAAAAATAAAAATTCTAAATGAGTAGCACTAGGGTTGTGAGATGGGTCAGATATACAAATGGCCTCAACAGGTACTGAAGCAACATTCTTGAGCGAGGAAAGGATGAATTGCAGATCTACCCAGAAATGGAAGAAAGTACCACTCCTAAAACTGATTATTTAGTTCATCTACATTAGGTAAGGAAAAAAAGAAAAAAAGCCAAAAATTGAAGCCAGTAAAAGTAATGGTAAAAACAGATTCAACCACAAAAAAGCCATGGAAACTAGCCAAAAGTCTATGAAGCACTGGTCTGCTCTTCGACCATTTCTCTTTGAGCCCTTTTTACATTGGATTTTTAAATATAAAATTCTCTAAGAGTCTTGAAATCTATACTAGGTTGGAAATGACAATAGACAAAAATCTGTGCTAAGATGTAGATGAAAAAAACAGGGTTTTACTGGGAATCTCTGTGTTTTGGTTGAATACAAATAAATAAAATTATGACTTACTAGATTGAAGCAAAAGTTTAAAGCTTCAAGTTTTTTCAATTCTTCTTAGAAATATAATTAAAAATCATTAAAATACATTTATCCCTTAAATATGAAAATTATTTTTTTTTCCAATGGCACTTTGTGATAATCAGCTGCTGAGAAAAAACTGACCTAAAAAACTGAGTCTTTTGTACTAATAAGTTCCAAACACACCACTACTGCCTGCTTCTTCCCACCTCCCTCATGTCTCTGATGATGAAATCATATTTTCTGATGTTGAAAAACAAAATTAGCATGCAGCCACCTCATTTATCCGGTGACCTTTTAAAAATTAAACTTATTGCACAAGGCAGGAGAAGAGTCACTCTCATAAAATTCATCATAGAAGAGTGGCTGTCCAGATGCATTGAATAAAACTGTGTATGCTGTGTATTAAAATGCTATTTAGTGATAATGTGTGCTATCCAGACACTTTCCTTCCTCTAATTATATAAAGTCACATGTATACTATATGTATAATTCTACACATTATACTATGTAGAATAATGCTCATTTTTGCTTAGGGTATAATGACTTAGAATTCTTTCACTTCTGGAAGTTGAGGATATATGCTTCAAGGTGTTGAGTCTCAAGAAGTCATTGCTTTGGGATCTGGTGGTATTTATGGTGTGCTCCCAGTGAACAGGTCTGGTCCCAAACTGGAAAGCAGACACTGCTGTCCATACTGTAAGAGCCAAGTCCACTAAGTCCAAGCCTGAGGCTCAGCTTTGTAACACATCATAAGGGAACAGAACCCAACTATCTTTCGCCTTTTAATGTTGTTCCAAGATATCCTCTTGCACACTGGATTGATTTGGTCAGGACAGGACTGAGCAGTGCACAGCCCAGTTCCTCACCAGCCATCTCCAGTTTGGCTGCTCCTAAACAAATTGCTGACCCTGGGAGAACAGAGCAAAAGGCGGCAATGTGGATATTAGGCTTATGGGTGAAAGGACATTTTGGTTTTGTCTCTTAAAGTTTTATTATCTACATGGCTAAAGCCAGTACAAAAATGTTTAAAGAGTAGTTTTTAAAAAGTAGACTGGTACTTTGTAGTCCTTTTACTGGTTTCTGGGAACATTTGTTGGGGATTAATCTGTTTTTACCATTACTCCTCCTGGCTTCAGGTTTTGGCTTTCTTCTCTTTTTCCTTAGGGAATCAACTAGATTTACTCTCAAAGTGTAGGTTTAGCCTCAGTTTCTCACTATACCAGGTCCTAAGCTGAAAAGGTAAGTCCTGTGCATGGTTCCTCAGTCTTTAGTTATTGATTGTATGATCTGAAGGGAAAGATTTCAAAAGCATCTTCAGTCCTTTATATGGATTTGTCGCCTGGCCTAAGTGCTCCATAGAGTTTAACATAGTCTATAAATAACAGAGAACTGACAATAAATATGAAAAATATACTAACAATATTATACACTAAGAAAATAGGTGTCCAGTATCTCCTGCTTCCTAATGTGGTTTCCAAAATTGCTCATTCCTTGGGAGTCAATTAGAAAACAGTGATGAACTTTCAGACTCTGGGTTGAAATAATGCAGATGTTTTGTTTCTGCCAGTAGCTAAGAGATCAAAAGGATATAAACAGCTAAAAAAAAACAAAAAAAAAACCCCAAAAAAACAATAAAAACCCCACAGGAAAGAAAGAGATACAGACACACAGGCTGGCATTAGGAGAGACCTCTTTGGAGAAAGCCCAAGATAAGGATTTTCTGGGATCTGGAGAATGGCATCTCTTGGAGAAATGCAAGAATATACTTAAGAGATTTTGTTGTCTAAGGTTAGTTTTCCCATAAATTTTTATGCTTTATGGGAACTGTCTGTGCACGATTCCCTTTGTCTCTGCTCCTGAACTCTTACCTGTGCTCATGGGGGATCATTGAATTCCAGGCCTGACACTGGATACCACTTTTGGTAACAGATATTGTTCCTTTATAGTCTGCTCCTTTTCCAATGATACAATTTCTGACATAATCTATTGAAATAGAAGAAAATTAGGGATTTGGTTAATGTATGAAAAATTAAAATTCATCATCTGGTTTTATATAAAAATAATATATTTATTAGCCTTTACATTCTTAATTTTTCAAGGTGCTGTTTACTTTTTGACATGCAAGCCCATCCTTTTTTTTTTTTCCAAATATTGATCACTATCTGACCCAAAAAAAAAAATCCTGGAAATGTTTCCAATATATCTGATTGAAAAAAACTCTATGTCTGAGGACTTGAGTATCCTACTCATTAATGAGGTAAATAAGAGCAATGTTAAGTAATAAATAGTAACTCATACAACTGAGCTGCTCAATAGTAAATTGAAGTACAAAACTGAGACCAGTATGTATGTAGTATGTAGTATGAAACTAGTATGTAGGCAAAAATGTAGATTGGAAAACTGACCAGCAGCAAGTATGTAGACAAATTTGCATGACAGCAAACTCAGGATATGTGTAGATCAAACTGTAGGATACAGCTTTCAAAATGCATAAAAGCATCCATGTCCAGGATGTTCCTACAACCAAAAAATCACTGACTGACCTCAGGGGTTTTTTTTTTCCCCTCCCTGGCTGGAAAAACAAAATCAGTAAATAAATCAGTTACCCTTCTTTTCATACAGATCAAACGCATGGTCTTGCTTCTTTCTCACACCATTTGTCAAGCTGTTGAAGGATAACCAATGGCACCGTTTTGTAACTCTGTCATAAGCAAAGGCCCTGCAAAGAAAATCTGGATGAGAAAAAAATCTCTGTGTGGTTTATAATAATGACACATGGTCTGCCAAGGAGCATGCAATGACATCAGATTTATTTTTACTGGGAAAGTCAGAGAAACAGTCCAAATTACTATTTAAACCCACAACTGTGCTGACAAGAGCAAAGAAACAAAGAAATTAAATTGATGTGGTCATTACATTAAATACCAGTTTGGTTGTTCACACTAATCTAAGAGTTTCCTTGTCATTAAAGATCTTTATTTTAAAACTTAGATAAATGTGACTGGGACAACATTTGTGTCCTCAGTTATTCTGCTCTCTGGGAGAAAAAAAAAGAAACATGAAGACTAAAACATCATCTTTGCTATGCTCACAATATGCCTCTGAAATAGTTAAGTATCTCACACTGATGGATTGAGAAAAATTCAAACACAAGGAATCTGTTTCTTGCCTAGAACAACAGAGAAAACAGAGTTGTTTAAAAACAAGAATATTTTTATTTGTAATAATAAAATAAACTGTGATAGTGTACCTAAAGTTTTTCCTTGCTTACTTTTGTTTTTTTCTCTCTTATTTTTAACTACTTTCTAGGAGTGAGTACAATGTGTGCTGAATGGACTAGATATGGGGGTGGGCAAGAAAGACAAACAAATCCACAGAGCAAAAATACTTTCTTTCAATACTTGATATGGAAAATGCAGACCTTTTTCTCCTATAACAGTTTTGAAAGGATAGTCTTTAACTATAGGTAAAATATTTTAAAGGATTTTAAAATCACAACTGACCACCTTGGAGGGGGCAACAGTTACTCCAATAAGGAAATTTTAAAAAAGAAATAAAAAACACCACAGGTGTTTTTTCCTTAATTTTTCACTTGAAGCAAATAATGACTGACATTATTTCCTCCAGCCTACCACAAAAATCTACATTTTTGTCACTCATCCCATACCTTCTGAGATATTTATTCTCATCTGAGAAGGCATTTTAACACTACTTGATAATACCCAAGAGTCACACAGATTTCTTACACTTCATCCATACTTTGGCTCTGCCATACTCTTCAGTACTGCATCCTTCAACAAGAAGTTCCTTGATCTTCATTTAATTCACCATACAAGCTTTCTATGTGAGATCTTGCTGGCTTCAGTTAAAAATGCTACAAGATCCTATCCAATCTCCCCAGTCTTCTCTCTTTCAAACATCTTCTTCATTATCGTTTCCATCACCAAACAGATTTTTCATCCAACTGCTCTCTCTACTCTGTTGACTCCAAATGTTTCCAACCTGCTAACCTTCATCCCTCTGCCCTTGTGCAGCCTTCTGTTCTCTTCTGGCTGATTCTCAAATTTGAGCATATCCAAATGCCTCTAACTCCATCTTCACAAAAATATCCTTGACCTTTCCTGCCTTTCCAATTACATTCTTGATTCTGCTCCTCCCTCCTAAAGTGGGAATGCAGAATGCACTGTTTACAAACTATTCTTTCAGTTTTTGCCTTTCAGTTGCCTTATGGTTTCTTTCCAGTTTGGCTTCAAACACTTCTTCATATAAAAGTTTGTAACAATCTTTTCTTGGACTCAAATTTGGAGGGGTTTTATACCTCCAAAGTCAACATATTTGAGCAAATTCTTGGACTTTCTTCTACTGATACTGCCGATCACAACAATTTTTTTTTTTTGCTTCTCTTTTTACTGAGATAGTCTTAGATAGTGTAAATTTTCTTATCAGGTACTGAAATTCTGTTGTCTGTACTGAAATCCCTTCCTGTGTAAATACAGACACTCTGAACAGATAACAAAGACAGTGACAGCTTTGCAGCTAAGGAAGGGATAGGTGCAAAAGTCGCCTGTATAGCAAATAAAATAGTAACTATATTGGCTTTTTTATCCATAGGAATTGTAGTGGGAAAAGCTGCAAGGATGTCTGTGGGAAAACAGAGGGAGCAATGGACTGCAAAGGGTGGTGAAACAAAGGAATAGAACAGTTCAGCAGCAGCAGCTTGATAAAACTGATAGGGAAGGCAGGTAAAAAGGTACAGAGATTTATGAAGTCAAAAACACAGTGTAAGTGAATCTGAGAAGTTCTTTGATGGAAGATTTTAGGAATAATGTTATGCAAAAGAAACAAGTCTAGATAAGGGTCTTGTAACTGTGTTGGAAATGAACAAGATCTGTGCAAGCATGACAGCCAGGGAATAGAGAAAATATCTGTTATGAAAAGTGGCATATAATAGCTTAAACATAAAAATGTTAGAGTTAAAACCAGCAAGGATTAATGATTGACCAATAAAATACTCAAAATTTACTTGCAAGTGATGCAGAAACTTACAACGAAGAAATAAAAAGTTGTCTTAATTTCCCCCCCACTCCAGAAAATAAGGAGTACCTGAACCTTTACAAGTCTGTAGGGCCTAAAATCTGCTACTTTCACCACTTTCTGGCAAAAAAGAAACCTAATACTGTTCCTGATTGCATACCTCACAGAGCACAGACACAGATGTTGTTGCTCCCAGTGCTATTGTCACAATTATGTTACAAAGCAATTCCATTTTTAAAAGCTTGCATACAGAAAATAAAACATCAGTGCGGTGGCCCAAGAGATGGACTGCTGCATGGCTATGGAGTATAAGAATCAAGCCATGAAAATGTCAGTAAACATAGGAAATTTCAAGTATCATATTTCAAGCATTTAAAATGTCACTTTGTGTTACTTCTTAATTTAGAATGCTCCCACAGCAGGCAGGAAGCTAATTGGTTTTCATTTAAGTTGGCAACAAATTTCACCTTGTAGTTACCATGTGCTGGTATGAAGTTAAAGACTGGGATCCTAGGAATAAAAGGGAATCATTAGGAAACACTGGATCCTTTAAAAGGGAACACATGTAAAATGAGTGTTTACAGTAGCATCAAAGAAGAGTTCATACTACAATAGGACCCATATGAGGCCAAAAGTGAAACCACAAGAGTGCTCTGAGGTTCCAGAAAAGAAAATCCCATGCGCTCTGTGCATAGTGGTAGCTCAGGCAAGACCTCATCACCTACACCTCTACTGCTAAAGCAGATTTTTAGCACTGTCCATGCTAAAAAGCTGCCAGGGAAAACAGAAATTCAGAGAGTAAGTCATCAGGATCTGTAATTCTTCTCCACACTCAATGCAAAATAATTACATGACAGATTGCCATTCTGTTATCTGTGAGCAGGGCTTTTCCAAAATTCTGAGAGATTCTAAATTAATTTTATTATAAAAGAGAATAGACACATATATTAACTTGCTTTTTATTTTCAGGACACAAAACATAGCATCCAGAGCAACTACAAGTGGCTTGAGAAAGTTTTCCTAAACTGATGCTAGAATGCAGAATTGTTGTTTTCTTGGTGTTATTCAGAATTTGTTTTATACTGATACTTAATTTTGCAATACTCCTTGTTGCTGCTCATCAGAACTCAGGGCTGTCTTGCTGTATTGAATACAACCTGATCCTTTTGGCAATGACATCAATGGAAGTTCTGCCAATGGGGAAAATATTAGTGCCTGGAAATATTTTCTGTCTGAAAAAAGTTAACTCTGCTCATTATTTACACATACAAATAGTCAAAGTACAGAATGATACAAATGAGATCTTGCAACAATGGAATTAAAGGCTTATGGAAGAATTTAATCACAGTTGAGACCCTTCTCTGCCAAGGAAGAAGTTTCATTATCATATTTTGCCTAGCTTCCATTTGTACCAATGGTCAAAACTGTTTACATTTCAAGTTCAGGGTCACATTTAGCCCAGCACTCACCAGTGCAGAAGTGATCCACTGTCTCCAAGATCTGCATTCATGGCCTTTCATTCATTGCTCATGGTCTAGACTAAGAGAGGCCAGGGGGACTGTATAAGCCTAATACTTCAGAAAAATGATAGTGATTTGTTCCAAAAAATAGTAGAGAATGTGTACAGGGCAGACAAGTGATCAGCTGCATGATGTGTTTCTAAGAGACAGCAGATGCTGAAGGATCCACAGCCCAGGTTTGATCCCAGTGTATCAGATTTGCAGCACTTGCCAGTGAACTTCAGCAGAGCGTGTATCTGTGCTCCATGTGTGAGGTTCTCGTTGATTTCAGCAGGACTAATGTGCAAACAATGAAGACAGAATATGGTCTGAAGTGGTGCTGAAATCCTGCAGCTGTGATGTGTGACAATAACCATTTTATAAAAGACATAAAAATCTCAGAAATCTTCACCTAATGCTACATTGCAGCCCACGTCATCTGCATCTCAATATTTTTTTCAGCTATGTTATGAAAAGGATTACATATTGGACAAGCTAAGACAGGCAACTCAGATAAAGCCTCTAAAAGCCTCAGAAAAGACTGACACACGCTGGACAGGTAGAGCCAGATCACTGAAATCAAAAATCACAATCCTTGGGTTGTTCTTGGTACAAGCTACCACTGATGATAACTGCAGAGACCTTTGAACAAAAGAGATCTCTTAGGGGTAAAAACAGACAAAAGAGATACATAACTTACTTGCAAGTGAAGGAGAGGCCCTTGTTCCTGCTGCATCTCTTTGCACATTGCTCTGTGGTATTTAACAGCTTCGTTTTTACTTCCAGTGTTTTGTTTACTTTAATGAGCATCAGCTCTCCTGTTTTTTTGAAGTCATGAAGAGGATTTCTCTTTTTTCCTTTACCCTCTAATAAAAGAATTAAAGAAAAAAAACAACAAAACAACAAAATAAAACATTGTTAAGAAGAATGCTGAGAGTAAAGATGGCACTGGATATGGATATGGATAACTTTTCCAAGGAATTTTAGCATCTTCAGTACCTAAAGCATAAAGAATCTCACAAAAATAGGGTATAAGCATATACTGCAGAAGAATTGATTATATTAGATGGTGATCTCCGTTTTTAAAATGAAAATAGTAGGAAATATATAAAACATAGTTTCAAATAAAGACATGCTGTAAGAGGGTAAAAGGAAAATTTCTCACCCTTTGTAAATTTTTTTAGAACCTCCAGAATATGCCCAATAGTTACCTGAGAGCTTGTAAATATTCAAAAAACTCAAGTGAAAGAGTATCACTTGCTGAATGAAAAAAACCTGTTCTTAAAACAATACATTTATCACAAAATGCGAAAAGAAGTGGATTCTGGAAGTGACACAAAATAATCATTTGTCCACTCGCTGCTCCAGTGAAGTCTCAGTGTGAGTGTTGTGTCCAGTTTAAGTGTGACTGAACTAGAGTTGTTAGCTCACAGAAAAGATTACAAGGTCAAACAGAGGCCATAGCATGGAAACAGTCTGCAGTGTTGCAAAAATTCCTGCAAAAACGAACACAATGATATCGTTTCCATGTCTCTATTGAAAGGCCCTGTGGAAGAGGTATAAAATGGAGGGAGGAAGACTGGTTAGAGATGTCTGGCAAAAGTGCAAGAGGAAAGGTCTTTGATATATGAAAGAAAAGTCCAGAGTTTTGCCAGTGTTTGTTTATAGTTTTGCATTGCATTTCATGAAAACCAGTCTGCCAGTGAAGGCTACTCCATTGTCTGTGAAGGCAGATGAGCACATCTGGAGAGTCCCTGTTCTGTCAGATGAATAACACAGGGAGAATAAATTGCCCTGTGGATCTATTTCTCCAGTTTCACTCAGTGATCCCAGATGATCTTTTTGGCTTAGATGGCTTATCCATGTAAGGTAGGTGAATAAATTCCTCCTTAGTTTACAAAGTAGATAACAGTATTTTCCGTAACTTATTTCCATGTAACTGTATTCACATCTGTCCTTTCATTTTTCTCTACAAACTGCAACAATAATAGAACACAAATTCTCCAGTTCATATTATTAAATTTTGCCAGAGTTTTTCCAAAAAAAAACCTCAGTCTAGTGCTTTGAATAGATCCTCATGCATGTGCAGTGTACTTAGGCCAGTGCAGTTTTTTTTGGTGCACTCTGCAGAAGCTCAGAATAAAAATTTAAATTAATGTAAATTGCAGTAGCTGAGGCTCTGGAAGAGTTAATGACAGCTCCACATACTGAAAAAAACTATCAAAGAGGGCTTAGGGGTGTTCCCTTTGCAGAACTTCCATCCTGATCACTGATCCATTTTCACTGGATTCAGCTAAATCACACCTCTCAGTGGCCAGTTATCCCTAAGACACCCAGAAATATAACAAAGACATTTACATTAGATCTCATCAAGCTTCATCTTTAAAAAAAAGAAAAACAAAACAGCAGAATATCTCTGCTATAACATCCTTTCAATATAATAATCTTCACCCCATCCTCCTTTCTTTCTTTTTGAACAAATCAAAGTAAACTGTGCTACTCTCCAGCATTTAACAACTCACAATTTCTATCCCAATATTTTAAGCCTTCAATTTGTACAGTGCACATGCACCCTAAATGAATCACTGCACAGAGAAATGTTATTATAACTTTTTCATCTTAAGGGTCCTCACCCTGCTACTGGAAAAGGTGGTGTCTACATTGAAGCTGCTTTATTTTTTGTTGTACCTGTGATAGAGCCAAAGTGCTTCAAAAAGGACTGGATTTGCCCTTTAAGACAACCAAAGGAAAACAAATCTGCTATAAAGATTTTGCGGTGTATTTCTCAATCTATTATCTTCCAAGACATACTTGCTCATTTTGAGTTGTCTCAGCCAAGATTTTTATGTCAAATGGTGGTAGGAATCTGTGAGAAATATCAAAGTATTTTCTTTCAGTTCCCGATACTAACATTTCCCATCTACTGATAAGTGTCATTATCTTAATTCCTAACGATAACAGCTTCTTAAACTCACCAGCCAGCATGCAAGAATATGATTTAAAAAATCAAGAAATTCTGTTCTGCCTGAAAAATATGGTACAGAGTTCTGCTTTTTCTTTTTGTCCTTCTTTTCCTAGCATTTGTCCAAAGAGGATTATGGGTTTGATCTTGCATTTAGTAATTCATAACAGCCTGATTTAGTTTAGCTTTCAAACAACAACATTCTACGTCTTGCTTATAATCCAAGAGGCAAAGGGCCAAGTGCATCTGTGGTGTGACTGTTAGAAACATCAGAATAATGCAAAGCACTACTTTAAGAATTCTCACAACAAAATATATAAAAATAATATTCTTTTTGTGTCAAATTAGGTGCCTTTATTAATAAAATGTTAACTCAAATAATGCCTTAGGTATTCAGAATGCTATAACAATGCAACTAATTTGTGATTGCTATTCATTTAAATTTTTTAAACTTTGATTAATCAGGATTTCTGCTCATTTTGTGGGCCATGTCCTCTGATGTTTTATGTAGTTTCATATCACATTACCAAGGAAGTCTGACATTCCACTTAAATTTGAAAATATCAGCAGCTGATTCAAACACAAAGGAATCCAGTCAAATATGAACCAACATTTTTCTCTTCAACAGAAACAATCACTAACTAAAAATATTTCTTCAGTCAACTTAAAAAAAACCTCAAAAAGGTGAGGGTGATTCCCTTTTCTGTTTCTTAACATGAAGTTGAACCAAAAATAAAAGAGCTCAGTCAGTGCCCAAGGAAATTGGAAATTGAAACTGACACATCAGCTCTAGTAGGATGCAGCATTGGACAAGAGCTCCATAATTTCATTTGGGATTTCCACAGTCCCCCTGCTGGTGTTCCCCATTTTCATAAGAGACTTTAAATATTTCCTTAAGAAAAAAGGTACCTCACAGGGAAATACATTTACCTTGGAGCTACAAGAGCTCACCTTTCATTTCCCTTACTAAATCTTCAAATGAGATTTCTGTACAGTCTTCTGACAGGAATCACTGACTGAGACTGCTCAAACTATAGGGCACCTGGAGGAAAAAATTTTCAACAATACCTTTTCTTGGAGCAGTTCCAGTCCATGTCAAATAATTTCAATAATCAGAGATGATCAAAATTGACATTCTGCAGCATTTTTGTAAGAAAACTCACCAACAAATTGCAGTGCCTGTATTCTAGAATCTGCTTAACTTTAGTTTTAGTTGTATTTATACATAAAGAACCATCAACACAGAGAACTGTGAGAAATGGAACCCACAGTATGAATATCATAGAAAGACACTTTCTTGATTAAAAAGAGAAACAGGTTTGAATCAGCAAAGGTGTTTGTATTTTGATCTCTCTTTCTCTCCAGTTATTCTGTAATCACTGGGCTGATAGAAAAATGACATCAAAATAGTTAATTTTTTTTGCTTCTGGCCTCATGTCCCACACCAGAAAAGGGCTTTGGGCTCCCAAGCTACCACATCCCTCAATTCTCAAACTACCTGATTATGTTCTGTATCTCAAATTAAAACTTACACCTTGCAGAATTAGTCTGATACTGAGCTATATGAGAGTCGAGAAATGCAGCGTAAATCTAGTTGCAGGTAATTTAAAGTTCAAACACCTGACCAAGTCACATTTTACACCCTCAGCTCTTAGTCTGATCACAAAAACATTTGGTTTTGCATTATCTATTTAGTAGTAAAAAAACCTAATATAGAAAATACAATACCATTGTTGTGGTAATCCAAATAACATACAGGGTGTGATAGGGCCCAAAGACCACCTTTGTTCATTATAATGAGATCAAAACATTACTTGTGTTATCTACAGCAAAATTTTACTAAGAGATTACCTGAATTCACCTGCTTAATTGGTAATCCCTTTCTCCTTCCTCCACCCCTCCATCTTTTTCTAATAAAGATGTACATTTTAGGCTGCAAGGTTATGGTATTACAGAGCACAACTGGAGCACAACTGGAGCACTACAGCTGCCTCCCCTAGAAAAATCTTAATGTCCATGGAACTTGTTATAGACTACAAATCTTTTATTAAATACCAGTTATGATGCACTCAGCATGTCAGCTTCCAGGGTTTCCAAATTCCACTCTATTCTATGCAAATGTAGTACCTTCTTAAAGAAGCACACCTTGAAGTCTCCCGATAATGAAAGAAAGCTTATTCCTTTTGTTTCTTTTTAATTTTGCATCCCACTTTATTATACAGAACAAAACCATCAAAGCTTAAAACCAAAGTTTTTCAAATGGGAAGATAAATACATTTAAATTAAATGTTTATTTTTAAATTGAAGTTCTTAATGAATACTTGGTGCTTTGCGATTGAGTTTTATTTCCCTCTTTCTTTGTTTAGTCTTGAAGAACTTGAGCATTTTACTATTTATTTGCTTTGTTGAGCTAAACTTCCAACTGTGTGAGGACTTTTTATGACTTCCAGTTTTTAAAAAAATATGAACACTCACTTAAAAGTATCACTGTTCTTTGTTTGTCAGATGTAAGAGATAAACTAAATCTATAGGGAAAATAAATCAGGAAAATGAAGATACCTGAATTCCTTAGACTAGAAGATGTTGTCAGAGAACTGCAGGAATCAACTGCAGTCCTTCCAAATGGAAAATGAAACACAAAATAACATGGCATGTGGAGAAATATTTAAAAGAGGGAAATTGTCCACATGCTGTGCAGGAAGCACAGAGAAACTGATGATTCAAAATATATTCCAGTGAAGAAAAATGGTCATATAAAGTGACACAATATTTCGGAAATATAAAACAGGCATAGGCACTTTCTTTAGTATCAACTGGCATGTTAGATCTCTGTTTAATATTTTGCACCATGTTTGTAATGAAATAAAGTCACTTGACCTTAAGCAGTTCATAGATGGACTAATTAGAGATTGAC